CTGTTCTCAGCTCCAGTTGTGAGGCTGAGATCTACGCCACAGCCATGGCGGCCCAGGAGCTACGTTGGCTGACCTACCTGCTGACCGACTTGGGAGAGCGGCCTTGTTCTCCTCCAGTACTGTACGTCGACAACAAGGCTGCCATTGCCTTGTGTGAGGAGCACAGACTGGAGCACAGAAAGAAGCACATCGCCCTACGGTACTTCCTTGCTCGAGAGCTGCAGCAGCGCGGTCAGCTTTGTCTGCGTTACGTGGCCACTGAGGCCAACACTGCTAATGTGTTCACCAAGGCGCTTCAGCCTTGTGACCATCAGCGCTTCTGTACTCTTCTAGGCCTTGTGCCTGCTGGACCTCACTTGCTTACTTCTTGACTCTGTTTGTACTGTGATCTCTATATATATACCTGCATGCTTACACTTGCTAGGTTGCGATCACTGTATCTCTTGCTATATTATCAAACTGCATGTGAACTGGTCTTGTGACCGCTTGCTTGTGCTCGGAATTTGTGTGGTATCCTTGAGATCCACCCTGAGCCTGTTTTGCTTTGCTTTGCTTTGACTGGTCTTGTGACCCTCTGGTTGTCTTTTGTTTTGTTTTGCTTTGCTTGTGCACGCTACGTACCTCTTAGCATCCTGGCATGCTACGTTGCGCCCGGGAGACACCGACGAGAGCACTAAGAGGCTGCTAAGAGGGTACATCGGGCATAGGACTCGTGCTTGAGGACAGTGGAGGAGGTCGCAACGACCGGACCCCCAGAGGGGTCAGCGAGGGAGACAGCAACTGGCCGAGCGAGTGGCTCAAGGACAGTGCGGTCACGAAAGAAACAGCGAGAAGCACCTGAGTCCAGTGTGAAGGTGTGCAGTGCTGCAGTCGACTCAGTACCAGCGGGCACGGACGCACTAGCACCTAGAGCAGCAGCCTCACCATCACCTGAGGTGGCAGACACGCGGGGACCTGCAGTGGCGGTCTCACTAGCACCTAGAGCGGCAGCCTCACTCACACTACACGGCAGCTGCACCGGTCCGCGCCCAGAAGCTCCCGAACGACGCACTCCAGAGTGACTACCACGACCACCACCCCGAGAGCCCAAACTCGCGTACCACTCACGAGCCCGCTGGAGCGTAAGAGGACACTGCTGCTGCACCTGTCCACTACCAGATGCTCCCGAACAACGCACGCCAGAGCGACTACCACTACGGCCACCCCGACAGCCCAAACTGGCGTACCACTCACGGGCCCGCTGGAGCGTAAGAGGACACTGCTGCTGCACCTGTCCACTACCAGATGCTCCCGAACAACGCACTCCAGAGCGACGACCACGACGGCCACCCCGACAGCCCCAACTAGCGTACCACGCACGCGCACGAAGCAGCTGGGGCGAAGGAGGGCACGGCAGCTGCACCTGTCCACTACCAGAAGCTCCCGACCGACCCACTCCAGAGCGACCACCACTACGGCCACCCCGACAGCCCCAACTAGCGTACCACTCACGCGCACGAAGCTGCTGGGGCGTGAGGGACTCACGCGCACGGCCCTGGAGCTGCATCTGGCCACGCCAGGAGCAGCAGTAGTAGCAGTAGCGGCAGCAACAGTAGTAACAGCAGGAGCTGTGGCAGTGGGAGTAGAAAAGGCAGTAGCAGCAGTAGCAGCGGTAGCAGTGCTGGGCAATGCTCACCAGTGGTCGGCGCGGCAGGCGCAAGACGGTGGCGACAGCGGGGCCGCTACAACTGCAGGGCTGGGCCGGGCCGCAGCAGGGAGCTCCGCGGCAGCTGCTGCAGGGCGAGGCCGGGCCGCGACGGCAGCTGCTCCAGGTGCCAGGGGCGGCTGCTGCAGTGGCGGCGGCTCCAGGGGCCAGGGGCGGCTGCTGCAGGTGCGGGCTGCTCCAGGGGGGGCTGCTGCAGTGGCGGGCGGCTCCAGGGGCTGCTACTGCAGTGGCGGGCGGCTCCAGGGGCTGCTGCTGCAGTGGCGGCTGCTCCAGGGGCTGCTGCTGCAGTGGCGGCTGCTCCAGGGGCGAGAGGCGGATTAGGTCAGGGCGACGCGGCGGGCAGGTGGCGACGCCGCGGGCAGGGCGACGCGGCGGGTAGGTGGCGACGCCGCGAGCAGGGCGACGCGGCGGGCAGGTGGCGACGCCGCGGGCAGGTCGACGCGGCGGGCAGGTGGCGACGCCGCGGGCAGGTCGACGCGGCGGGCAGGTGGCGACGCCGCGGGCAGGGCGACGCGGCGGGCAGGTGGCGACGCCGCGGGCAGGTCGACGCGACGAGGGCAGGCGACGACGCCGCGGGCAGGCGACGACGTCGCGGGCAGGCGACGACGCCGCGGGCAGGCGACGACGCCGCGGGCTGGCGACGACGCCGCGGAAAGCGGGCCGCGCGCGGGTGGCTAGCAGGCCGTGCGTGCGCGGTAGGGAGAGGCGCACGAGGGCGCGAGGGCGCACGAGGGCGCGCGGTAGTAAGAGGCGCACGAGGGCGCGAGGGCGCACGAGGGCGCACGGTAGTAAGAGGCGCACGAGGGCGCGAGGGCGCACGAGGGCGCACGGTAGGTAGGTAGGTAGGTAGCGGTGGGCCCTAAAACGGTCCTAGTGAAGGACCTGCTCTGATACCATGTCAGAATGAACGGACAGGAATGATTGAACTAACAGTGAAATCAGTACAAGTACCTAACCCTAGAATTGTGTACCCCCTATAGGCTAACCCACTGTAGCCTAAACAAACACAACATATGTAATGTTTGACAGAGTCCAGTTGTGCTCACTAAACACTCGGACGCGTCTTGGGTTGACGACCTCGCTACGCAGCGGTCGTTACAGGATTACACATTTAGCCTTGGCTCCGGCTCTGTTTCTTGGCGGTCTACCCATTGGTCTTCTGTTCTCAGCTCCAGTTGTGAGGCTGAGATCTACGCCACAGCCATGGCTGCACAGGAGTTACGCAGGCTCACCAACCTGCAAACCGACTTGGGAGAGCGGCCTCGTTCTCCTCCTGTTCTGTACGTAGACAACAAGGCCGCTATTGCCTTGTGTCAGGAGCACTGACTGGAGCACAGAACGAAGCACATGGTTCTGCGTTACTTCCTTGCTCGAGAGTTGCAGCAGTGTGGTCAGCTTCGTCTTGCTTACGTGGCCACTTGGGCCAACACTGCTGATATATTCACCAAGGCACTTCCGCCTGGTGATCACTAGCGTTTCTGTACTGCTTTAGGCCTTGTGCCTGCTTTGTCTCACTTGCTTACTGCGTAACTTTGCTTGTACTGTGATCTATATATATTCCTGCATGCTTTCTCTTGCTAGGTAGTGTTCACTGTACTGTTTCCTACCGTCATTGCCCGGATATAAGACATATATGTCTTATCTCTTACATGTTCAAAAATGCTTGGGTTGTCTTGTATTTGGGACGGTTTAGGGTGTCTTATAAGTCTTATAAATGGACAAAGAACCGTTTAGAAGATACCCCCTCGTTATACAATTGCCCCTAACCCCTACCGCGTACACACAAATAGGTGTCTTAAAATGAGGCTAGCCTGTTTGTGAGAGACACCCGGATAATAGACAACCCCTGTCTACTATTCAACACTGTCTACTATCCGGGTGATGACGGTATCTTTTATATAAAAGTCATTTGCTAACTGGCCTTGTGGCCATTTGCTTCTGCTTAGAATGTGTGGTGATTTCGTGATCCACCCTGAACTTGCTTTGTTTTTCTTGGCTGGTGTGTGACCACTGGTTCTCCCCTACTTTGCTTTTGATGTGTAGGCTGTAGTGGGGTAGCCCATAAGGGGTACAACCCAAATTAGGGTTACAGTAATCACCCGGACATACCACCCTAGGGTGCTATGATAACTACAGCAAAAAAAGGGGGGGCGTGTTGTCATGGGAAAAAGCTACATGACACCCGGTTCTTTTTATACGGTTTTTCTTTTAGTGTAGGATTTTGATGCAAAGACAACTTGGGTACTTTCAGAATAGGTTTAATATCACAGCTAGAAGCGAGATGTGGGTTTTAACGAGATCCTTTTCACCCCCCTTAAAATTGCCAGATGGCACCTTTTTGGCCACTTGGTACGTGAACTATCTACCAGCGTGGCAGGCAGGCAGCAGCGTAAAAGAGGGAGACGGGCGATTTCGGCAGATTTTATCGAAATTACCATGTAATTTCATCGAGGAAGTGATTTTCGCGATGTTCTGCAGTACTCGCTAACAGCTATAATTAGAAATCTCGTATGAAAAGGGGGTGTTATAGAAAATCACCCCAAAAGGGGGGTATAGTAGAAACGAGGTCCGCTATAGCACCCACCCCGCACAAGCCACCCGGGGGGTCTTCAATTTCGGCGGATGGTATGTCTGGGTGATTACGGTAGTACTTGTACCCACATGTTGAGAAAGCTTGCTTTCTGTTCTTGCAAAGGCAACGGGCTTCATTACAGGGCAACGGGCTTCATTACAATTGCAGTAATACAACATTCTCGTCCAACTATGAATTACACAAATATACAACTAGGGTGGGTGGGTGGGGAGTGGAACTGCAAAGTTCCGAAATGAAGTCGTGGGTGGAGGCCGAATGGCCTCCAACCCTCGTTATATACTCGGCGAATTGTAATTCGCCGTTGCTTTGCTTCGTTACAGGCCGCTGCGCTTTCACAATACGCATTTTTAGAAAGTGTTACACACTTTCAAAAAATTTCATTTTTGTTCAATGCATCATTCACTGCTGCTCACTGATATTCTGACATCTCAAACATACAGTGAGCCCCTTCTTATCGAGCCCAGAGCACCCTCTCTAAACAGTGCCAGAGTTTCAAACTGCTCACTTCCTACGGCTTCATATCAAGCCACCTCGTATCAAGATAGGACTTTTTGCCTGGTGAAACTAGCGAGAGGTTTTAGGTTTAGGGGAATTTGTAGTGTGAGCGTGATTTGAGGTTCGATCGATACGAGGATAGGATGACGCTCTTACGGTAATATACGGCTGTGCTCAAAACAAGGCCTCCTTGTGAGCTCATGTACTTCAGCAGGGTCGATTAGTGTTGGAGTGAAAGCTGGGCGAGCTGGACTGATCCTTCCCAGCAGCCACCTGCCGACACACGGAGCACGGCGGGGTACCGGTATGTGCAACAACACCACAGCCCCCAACAATCAGTGCAAGCAACTGAAAATGGTGTAACGGGGTTGCATTGCACCGGTTCAGTGTGTGCATGAAGTGAACTTGGGGGGGACGGTGAAAGATGGTATGGTGGAAAGTGTGGAAACAAAAGCAGTGACAAGGAATAATCTGGTGGCAGGAAGGGCTTTCAGGGGATGCAAGCGAGTGGTACCTGTGGGAAGAGATCAAGAGGAGTGGTGGAGGCCGGTTGAAAGAGGTGCGAGAAGCCAAGAGGAGATGGCGCTGGGGTCATGGGAGCGGCAAGGGGGGAGGGCAGCAGCGATGCAGAGTTGCCTGGCGACAGCAGCAATGTGCTCGGAGCTGCTGCTTGGTGCGGCACTGCAGCGGCTTGGTGCTGTGCTGGCGGCATGGCTTGAGTCGCGTCTGCAGCACCTGGCAGCGCTGCTTGTGATGTTGGTGCTGCTGGTGCAGTGGCTGCGTGGGGGGCTGATGGGGTGAAGGGCCAGGTGGTAGGGGCATGTGCGGCAGCAGTCGAGGGAGCGAGGACAGGGAAGAGCGAGGGGCCAAACGAGGGCGAGGAGAGGAGCATGGAGTGCTGGTGCTGGTGCACGGATGCTACTGCCTGCTGCTGGGGGATGGCTGCACCACTGCCGTCAGCACCCAGGGGTGCAGGGGCAACAGGAGGAGCAGGGCCAGCAGCAGTGGGGGTGGCGGCGGGGGTGGGGCCGGCAGCAGCGCCGGCGGAGGAGAGCTGGGTGGAGAGGAGCGAGGCGATGTAGGTGGCGAGGGCGGTCTTGAAGGCGGGGTCGCTGGTGATCTTCTCCGCTGTCTCCGCCACCAGCCGACTGTGCACCGCTGGTGACGCCAGCGCCGCCTCCATGCCCGCTGCTGGCGCTGCTGCTGCTGCTGGTGTCACCGCTGGTGCGGGAGGCGCTGTTGGAACTGCCCCTGCTGGCGCTGCTGCCATTGCCGCTGCTGCTGATGCTGCAGCAGTCCCAGCAGGTGTAGCGTGTGATGTGTCAGAAGCAGCAGCGGTGGCAGGTGCAGCAGCAGCACCACTACCAGCAGCAGCAGCAGGGCGTTCAGGTGTGAAGTGACCGACGACACGGCGCCGGGGAATGTGAATGAGGGGCGGCGCCTCATCGCCTGCTGCTGCCACCCCGCTTATGGTGGGGCGAGCAGCAGAGGGCGGGGTGGGCGGGTGGGCAAGGTGAGAAGGAGTGGCAGCAGCAGCCGCGGGGGGGGAGAAGAGTGCAGCGGTGGATGCAGGGGGTGTGGAGGCAGAGGCAGGGAGGGGGGTGGGGAGCAGCAAGCCGTGGATGGGCGACGGTGTGGACGCTGCAGAGGACGGCGCCGCTGTGGATGCGCCTGCAGGGGCGGCAGCGGGCGCTGAGGGGGCAGCGAGCGGGGCAGTGGGGGGAGGCGGGGCGGAGGAAGGCGAGGGGGCAGGAGCGCCAGGCCACCACCAGGGGGCGCCTGTGGGGGTGGCAGCGGTGTTGGTGGGGGTGCTGGCAGGTGTGGGAGCGGCAGCAGCACCCCCAGGCGTGTGTGCTACGGCCGTGAATGGCACTGCTGGTGGGTGCATGGGTGGTGCGGCTGCTGCTGCTGAAGCTGGTGGCGCGGGAGGGGAGGATGGCAGAGCAAGTGGTGCAGCAGATGAGCCACTAAGAGCAGCACCACCAGTAGTGCCAAGAGCAGGAGTGCTCATTCCCCCGCCCATGCCACTCCCTGCGGCCTGTCCCCCTGCAGTGACCCCCAGGCCCAGCTGAGCGAGCTGGTGGGGGGGCAAGGAGGAGAGGTCGAGTGTGACGGTGGGCAGGGCAGCCGTGGCCGTCACAAACGGCGACGAGGGCGTGCCCGCCAGCGTGGGCGTCGCAAGTGGTGACGCCAGCAGAGACGGGTCCGAGGGGAACGCTGACGCTGCTGCTGCAGCAGCAGTGGGTGTGTGGAGAGTGGAGCTGCCTGGTGTTCCTGCCCCAGCTGTTGCTCCCATCAGCGACGGCGGTGGAGGGAACGCGTGGTGGGCGGGGAAGGCAGCGGGGGAGGAGGCGGACGAGGGGGCGAAGAGCGAGGGCGAGGGGAGCGGGGCATGCGCGCCAGCGGAGGAGACGAGGGAGGCGGAGGAGGTGAGCATGGCCATGGCGGTGGCGTGCGGGGCGAGTGCATGGGAGTGCGTGCCCTCGTACGTGACGATGAGGAACGCCATGTCGTCCGCACACCGCTGCACCTGCTTGCGCACCGGGCAGGCCGGCGCAGCCGTGCAGCGGTAGTAGGCGCGCGGACAGGGGTTGCCCTTTGATACCTTCTGCCCGTACTTGCGCCACTGGCCCCCGTCCGACAGCTGCAGGGGGGCGAGGGGGGTGGATGGGCGGGGGGAGGATAAGTGAGGAAGATATTATGGGGAGGAGAGGAGAGGAGAGGAGAGGAGAGGAGAGGAGATGAGAGAAGCTATGTTGCAGAAGACGCTCAGGGCGTCTTGTTTCCTGCAACCAGGCGCAGCATCTGGACGCAGGACGCAGGACGCCCGCGAAGACGCAAGACGCAGGGGGTTTTTTTTGGGGGAAGTCGGGAAAAAAAAATGGGGGAAAAAAGTCAAGACCTAAGAAGAAATTGCCTCAAATTTTAGCTACGTCCATGTCCCCCCCCTCCCCATGCCCCATAGAAGGTTCTTTGGTCTGCCCGGGCTTGCGTCTAACCCAGCGTCTAATCGGCCCTACACGCGCGTCTAGCGTCTTTGACGCTATGTCTAAGACGCTAGACGCGTCTTCCGCAACTTAGGAGGGGAGTGGCGAGGCAGAAGGGATGGACAGGCAGGGAAAGTTGGGAAGGTAGAGGTGTGATGGGACGAGGGACGGGATAGAGCATGAAAGAACGCAGACAGTCGAAAATGGAGAAAGAGGATAGTAGAGTAGAGGAGAGTAGGGTAGAGTAGAGGAGAGGAGAGGAGAGGAGAGGAGAGGAGAGGAGAGGAGAGGAGAGGAGAGGAGAGGAGAGGAGAGGAGAGGAGAGGAGAGGAGAGGAGAGGAGAGGAGAGGGGAAGGAGAGGAAGGGGATACGAGAAGAGAGGGGAGGGAGAGGCGGAGAGGGGACGCACGGTGGCGGCGTCACAGCGGGCACGGATGGCAACACGGGCAGCCTTGCGAGCGGCTGCAGTGTCTGGCATGAGGGGCACATGCGTGGGGATAAAGCGAAGCGCCTGCTGCTGCTGCTGCTGCTGCTGCTGCCATGCCACCTGTTGCTGCTGTTGCTGTTGCTGCTGCTGTTGTTGCTGTTGCTGTTGCTGCTGCTGTTGCTGCTGTTCCTGCTGCTGTTGCTGCTGTTCCTGCTGTTGTTGCTGCTGTTCCTGCTGCTGTTCCTGCTGCTGTTGCTGCTGTTCCTGCTGTTGTTGCTGCTGTTCCTTCTGCTGTTGCTGTTGCTGTTGCTGTTGCACCTGCTGCTGATGCTGCTGCTGGGGGTGCAGTACAATCTGTTGCTGCAGCTGAAGAGTCAGTGCAGGTGGTGGTTCAACCACAAGCGACCCCTGTGCGTGCATGCCTTGCTTCTCTTCCTCCACTGGCCCTGCACCCACCTGCACCTGCATCTGCGTCCCTGCAGCAGCTGTCTTCCCTTCCATTGCCACTTCTTCTCTGCTACTTGCCGCCTTCGCCATCCCAGCTGCTAACTCTGCCACTTCCGCGCCCTGCAGCGCCGGGACCATCACCCCATGCTGCGGCTCAGCTTTCTGCTGCCCATCACTCACCCGCTCTCCCTCACCTTGCTGCTGGGACTTCAACTCGTCACTATGGCATGCAGGCAATGCAGCGGAAGCAGATGCATCAGCAGCAGAAGCAGCACCAGGAGGAGGAGCAGCAGCAGGCGGGGAAGCAGGGCCAGGGCTGCGGTGCTCGGTTCCCTTTGACTCAGGAGCAGCACGCGCCAGCACCTCTTGCTCTCCAGCCCCTGCGCCATCTGTGCTGCGCCCACCCTCCCTCGTCACTTCCTCCTGTGCCCCCCTCGTGCCTTGCTCACCTGCTCCTACCCTGCCATCCGCACACTTCAAAGGGGGTGGAGCGGCAGCACAGCACAGCCGGCTTCGAGGCAACACTCGCTTCCCCCCACCATCACCACCACCAGCACTGCTGCCGCCCTCTCGGCTCCCTTGGCTGGCTGCGTCGTCTGCTCTCTCATCTCCCCGCACCACCTCCTGCTGCCTCTCCTGTCCCCCCTCGCGCGCATGCTCTCTGCCCTGCTCGCCCACGTCCATGGCATCTGCAGCGCCACCACCACTCGCCACAGCGCGCACACTCTCCTCGCCCACTGTGCTCGCCTCCCCTCGCTGCCTCTTGCACGCCCTCTCATCCCCCTTGCTCTGCTCACTCTCTCCCTCCTCTTCACTTTCTCCTCTTCCCAACCCCCTCTCATCAACCGTCACTTTTTCCATCCCAGCCTCCCCCATTTCCAAGTCCCCATCCTGCTCGCCCTTTGCACGGCCCTTCCTCCTGCTACCCACGCCCTCCCCGTGCTCCTCCCCTGCGCCCGCCCTGCTTCGAGCACCCACCACCCGTGACTCCACAGCACACTCATCGCGAGTCTCCTCGTCACTGCCTTCTCCCCCCTGCCCATCCCCCTGCTCACTCCCCTGCCCACCCACTGCACTGCCTGCCATCGTGCCTGCCCGCTCCCCACCTGCCCCTCCGCCCGGCCCACACACCGACTCCCCTTTCCACCTTGCGTCCCTCACCTCCCCCTCTCCCCTCCCTCTCTCCTCCGCTTCCCCTTCCCTGGTTCCTTCCCCTCCCCGCCGTCGCCGCCGCCGCCGCTGCTGTCCCTCCTCCGCCCTCTCGCTCGTGGAATCGCTGCGGTCCATTCCCACGGATCTGATCGGACGGCCCACGCTGCAGCGCTGCTGGGAGGCGGAGTCGGGGGGGGAGAGCGACCCCCTGTGGGCGGACGGGCGGGGCTGCGCGCGCATGGGCGCAGGGGGCGTGTGGGAGCGCGCTGGCAGCAGGGGGGACGCGGGCCTCCCCCCCCTGCTGCCCCTGTCAGGACCGGTGGGTGCTTGGGGGTGGGGTGGGGAGGGCGGAGGCATCATGGGCGCGGGAGGGGGTGTGGCGGAGGAGGAGGGTGGCGCAGTGGGGAAGGGGGGGAAGGGGAAGGGGTTGGGGAGCGCGGGGAAGAGCGCGGTCCAGCGCGACATGGCCTGATGGGGGGTGAAAGGGAGGGAGGAAGGGACGGGAGGAGGGAGGAGGGGAGGGGGGAGGAGAGGGAGGAGAGGGAGGGAGGGTAGCAAAGTTTGTGGTGAATAAGAATGGAGGCGGAGGACGAGGGGCGACGAGCAGCAACACATGGTGGGTGGGAGGTGTAAGGGGAAGGAGGCGGTGTAAACATGCCTTGAGGCCACAATTCCAATCACACCTTCCCCTCGCCCCACCCTGCTCACCCGTCACCCACCCTCCACCCCATCGCCATCCCACCTCCCCGTTCCCCACCCTCCTCCCCGTCTCCCCTGTCTCTCACATTCCCCTTCCCCTCCCCCGGGCCCCTGCGCGAGCGCGCACCTGGGCAGCAGCGGCGTGGTAGGGCAGCAGCGCCAGCATCTGCATCTGCTGCGCGCGCACCCACTCCGCGCCCCCCTCGCCCGCCACCCCTGCTCCGCCCGCCATCATCCGCGCCAGCACGTCTGCACTCAGCCCTGCCGCCCCCACCCCTGCCCCCATCCTTGCCCCTGCCCCCTCCCCTGCCCCAGCTGCGCCTTCACCTGCGCTCGTTCCGCCCCCGCCTGCCCTCGCGCCCTCCCCTCCACCCGTGTCCGCCGCTGCACGCCCGCTGAGTGCGCCTGCCCCCGCCTTGCCCACATTCTCTGGTCTCCCAGGGGGGTCGTCCCCCCCATGCGCGGAGGGGCCGTTCCCCCCATGCGCGGAGAGCTGCAGCGCCACTATGGCGCGCAGAGACTCGTTCTCCTTGCTGAGGCGCGCGATCATGCCCCGCATGTCCGCCAGCTGGGGGAGGGGGGCACCGTGGGGGGGAGGTTGCGCCAGGAGGAGAGTTGCAGAGGCAGCGGCGTATGCGGCAGTTTGCAGGATGAAATGCTGGAAATGCGGCAGCCTCTTGCGAGGTAGCACTAACAGTGCGGTACGGTACGGTGCTGTAATCTGCAGTAAACTGCATTACAGCACGGTAAAAAGCAGTGAAGCTCACAGCATGCTTCTGACAAAATGACAAAATCAAAGGGCTCAAGAGAGACTGCTTGGAGTGTTGGCGGGACAGGTTGGGAAATACGAAGGGGAGTTGGCGACCGACCTGCGGCGGCTGCTCACCTGCGATGCGACGACTGCTCACCTGCGATGCGACGGCTGCTCACCTGCGACATGACAGCATCGGCGGTAATCCCCTGACCGCCCGCCTCACCGCCTGCTACAGCGGTGGACGTGGTGTCGCCACGAGGCACGGCTTGAGCATCGCCAGCACCAGCGTCGACAGCACAAACAGCCTTTCGAGGCGACTCAGAAGAGCCGCGAGCATCGTCAGCAGCGGCCTCCGTCGCCCGCTGGCCGTGACTGTCCGCCCGCACTGCAGCGTCACCTGCTTCCCGCTCTTCTCGCTCTGAGCGCTCTTCCCGCCCTGCCCGCTCTTCCCGCTCTGCCCGCTCTTCCCGCTCTTCCCGCTCTGTCAACTTCCCAACTTCCCCTGAACCTTGCGTGTCCCGTTTCCCACCCGACACTTGCTTCGCTTCCCGCTCTAACGCCTGCGATGGGATTGGCTCCTCTCCTGCTGAACCGTTCCCCTCTGACCCGTTTCTTCCCGACCCAGTTACATCTGCTGGCTGACGCCGCGACGCATCGCCTCCTTCAGCCATGGCTGCGGCCCGCGTTGGACAGATGGAAATCACTGTATTATTTCTCCCGACCGATCTAAAATAGCGCGAATTACCGAGTCGACTCTGTAACGCGGGGCATCTTTAGGCGCGAGTGAACGAGATCGCCGAAACCGCACTCACGAAAGAAGACTTCGAGCCAATAAGATGATCAGCATGAATAAGATCGGACAATAATGTGCTTCGCTGAGAGGCGGAGATAGCGAGTATTGAAGCGTCCAAGAGTCGCAACGCGTCCCCACAAATTAGTAACTGTCAAGACGGCAGCAAGTCATACGAAACCTGCAAAAATGCACGTTCTAAGGATGCGGTAATGGTCTCCACAAGTTACAGATCCTACACATTCCGCTAAAACAGCTAAAATTGAGGGAGGCTCGCAGCGCGGCTACAGGATGCTCCAACGATGAGAAGGCATAGCCGCTTGTCCAGCACACAGAAGCAGAGCGAGAAAGGGAAGCCAATTCCACCTGCTCCACGCCTGAACGTCTTGAGCCTTGACTCGAGACAAACCAAAGCGATTGTGTTGAGGTGCGGTCGGGGGGCACAGCAACTGCTGGCTCGGCGACTGTGAGACGAGGGTCGTTGGGGGAAGACGCGATGACCAGACCAGTAAACTTTCTTGGCCCGGGTACGCCGAACCAGGTCCGAACCACTCGTGTACGTCAACGACGACATCTATCCAGCGGCTGTGACCCCTAGCCTAGCCTCGGGTTTGAAAGTTTCTGATTTTGGCACAATAATGAGCCACCCCAACCACACACGTCTGACGGAACGCTGACTGCAGGTTGGAGGGTTTGTCCATGCTCCGGTGGCGGTACTGTAGCGTCGCGGAAAAGCCTGCCCCCTTCCGAAACCCTAGTCAACGACGACCAGGAGAGGGAAGATGGAAAAGGTACAGTAAAATTCTATGTCAGTTGTTTGACGTGATCTGTACATGTTGACGCGGATGACTATGCTGTTGCAACGGAATTGGACGCGGCTTTGTAGTGTACAGAGTAATCTAGTGGGATTTCAGTACGGTGGTAACTTGTCTAACGTGATCAAACCTCGGGATTGTCAACTTGCACTACGCCCTTCGGAACTGGTTTTGGTGTGAAACTGTATTCCGTCGTTGTCCGTTGCTGCCGCGTGATTGGTCCTATTCTTTCTCCCAGCCCAGCCCAGGTAGGACAGCTGCATTTCAACCAGAAAATCGTCAACTCCGGAATGTAACTGTCAGAAACCAGTCGCGATTTGTGCATACATACTACACGAGGTAAGTGTGAATTAAACTGTCATTTATCAAAATTGGTATGTAGTCAAGTGATCTCATTTCATACCAGAGCCACAGCCCACAGTTCTTTTGGACCACCAGATATCCACTTTCATTCACAATATCAGACACTGCTTCCACAAGGCTTATCTATGCGTTCCTGAAAGAAACTCTGATTTGATCGAGCACAGCACCTAAAGGTGAGGTGAACACTGGTGGTTGAGAGAGCTTTTAAAGATGAAGCGCAGTCGCAAGCAGCATTTTTAACGATTGGCCTTGGCAACACGCTCAATCTCATCCTTTTTCTTGATGGCATAGCTGCAAGCAAAAAAGGGTCGGGGCGGGGGGGGTGGGGGGGGGGGGGGGGGGGGGGGGGGGGGGGGGGGGGGGTGAGGGAGAGGAGAGGGGGGGGGCAGGAGCCAGCAAGGGAAAATATTTAGGAGGGCTCTGGAGCTAAAAATGCAGAACAACGGCCGCAGGCAGAGAACACGCATGGTGCTAACGATGCTCAACGCATGCCATTGTAAGAGGGGGTGCAAACAGCAAGCGACCCTTTTCCACTGACCCACTAGCACACAGCTGCACACGTGAACCAGCTGCACAGCTTTCCTACTGCCAGCGTCCTGCTCGCACCACCTGTTGACGCTGCCCTTCAAAACCAGGCAGACGACTCACCTGTTGGAGCGGCCCTTGACGGCATAGCACACCTGTCGGACTTGCACTTAAAGCTCTTGGCAGCATAGCACACTTGTTTGAGATGCCTTTCGCTGCCCTTAAAGCCCATGCGGGCGCCATGGAACACCTGTTAAAGCTGCCCATAAAGCCTGGACGGGCAGTATAACACCCCTGTTGGGATGAGAGCAGCCCTTGGCGCCACAACACACCTGTTGGAGCTACCCTTGGCGCCACAACACACCTGTTGGAGCTGCCCTTGGCGCCACAACACACCTGTTGGAGCTACCCTTGGCGCCACAACACACCTGTTGGAGCTACCCTTGGCGCCACAACACACCTGTTGGAGCTGCCCTTGGCGCCACAACACACCTGTTGGAGCTGCCCTTTACGCCACAACACACCTGTTGGAGCTACCCTTGGCGCCACAACACACCTGTTGGAGCTACCCTTGGCGCCAAAACACACTTGTTGGAGCTGCCCTTGGCGCCACAACACACCTGTTGGAGCTACCCTTGGCGCCACAACGCACCTGTTGGAGCTGCCCTTGGCGGCACAACACACCTGTTGGAGCTGCCCTTGGTGGCACAACGCACCTGTTGGAGCTGCCCTTGGCGCCACAACGCACCTGTTGGAGCTTCCCTTGGCGCCACAACGCACCTGTTGGAGCTGCCCTTGGCGCCACAACGCACCTGTTGGAGCTGCCCTTGGCGCCACAACGCACCTGTTGGAGCTGCCCTTGGCGGCGTTGATGAGTTCGTCCGCCAGGCACTCCGCGATTGTCTTCACATTGCGGAACGACGCCTCGCGCGCGCCCGTCGTCAGCAGCGCGATGGCCTGCGCGCAGGAGAACGGGGGGAGGGGAAGACGGGGGAAGGGATGGGAGGTGGTTGGGGGGGAGGGAGGAGGTTAGCCCGTGATGCACGAGATAAGAGGTGGCCGAGGATTTCTGAGAAGAAAAGGCGCGGAGCACTGCAGAACATACTGTTGCTCGTGCGCGCATGCTTAGGGTAGCGGCGGATGGCGGATGGACGAGCAGAAAGACCTCTCGCGCAGCTGCGGCCGCAAGCCATGGCCTGCTGGCCAGTCAGGAACCCGTTCACGGAACGTGAACGTCACCCCCGTCACACCCATCACGCCCGTCACCCCCGTCACCCCCGTCACCCCCGTCACCCCCGTCACCCCCGTCACGCCCGTCACGCACACCATCCCACACACGCCCGTCACGCACGCATGTTCCTGAATGCACGGTTGCGCGCAGGGGCGGCGCGTACATACCTGGTTGACTCGTCGCAGCGGCGAGATGTCGACGGCCTGGCGGCGAATGACGCCCGCCGACCCGATCCGGGTGGCGTCCTCGCGCGGGCCGCTGTTGACGATGGCGTCGACGATGACCTGGATGGGGTTCTGGTCCGTGAGCAGGTGGATGATCTCCATGGCGTGCTGCACGATGCGCACCGCCATCAGCTTCTTGCCGTTGTTGCGCCCGTGCATCATCAGACTGTTGGTCAACCTGCGCATGCGAAGAGGACGGGACGCGGAAGGGATGGGGGACGGGAGGCGGAGGAAGGGACAGGGGAAGGGCGAAGGGGGGTAAGAAGGAAAGTCAACGCGTGGCAGCGCCATGAGCTTCTTGGCATTGTTGCGGCCGTGCATCATCAGTTTGTTCGCCCGCCTGCTCCCGCAGCACGCACGCGGCCGGACGGGGGAAGGGACGGATGACGAGGGACGGGGGACGAGGGACGGCGGACGAGGGACGGGGGACGAGGGACGGGGACGGGGACGGGACAGGGAGACGGGGAAGAGGGAGGGAGGATTGGGGAAGGATGGATGGAGGAAGATGGAAGTAAGGACGACGGGCACGAGGGAAGGGGCAGAGGGCAAGAGAGTGTCGGGGACCAAGTGCTTTCGCTGTGCCATGGCGCGCGTTCTGTGTGGATCGCAAGGCGTGTGTGTGGATCGCAAGGCGTGTGTGTGGATCGCAAGGCGTGTGTGAATGAGCAGACACGGGGTCGGGCGGTGAAGCTTCGCCATAAGCAGGCAATAGCAGCACCCCCTCTCGTCGCCAGCGTTACCAGGTGCCGCTCGTGCACTGTTGCATAATCGCGCAACGACTGTTCGGGCAGTGTTCCTCACTCACCGCTCAATAATCGGGCAGTTCGCCTTGCGGAAACGCTTAGCGGAGTAACGGCCGGCAGTGTGCGGCACGGTGATGGCATGCTTGACGGCGATGTAATCGGCCAGCGACAGGTCGTTAACCTGCCGGTTGGGGAGCGGACCGGAGAGGGAGCGGGACAGACGGGAGGAGGGAAGAGCATGGAGGGAGAAGGGAACATGAAGGTGAGAGGGGAAAATGACGGGGAGAGACGAGGCGCGCAGGGAGCACGAGACAGTGCGCGCGGATCGGCGCGCAGAGGAGGAGAGGCTGAACCACAATTCGAACAGTACTAGCGGCGATGCCACGATGGACGTCTGTAGCGCGGTAACCTGACTCTACTGGCCACGTGCTCAGATCGCATCACGATCAGCTTGCCCACTGCACGATCTAACGCTGATGCTGCTACCACGTTCTGATGCGCGCCCCGCGATCGCACCCCGCGGAGTGTGCACGCCGACTGGCGGGAAGCATCTATCAAGCTCCGAACACGAGCCATGCCGAAACAAGCGGCGATCGCACCACAAACCCTAAATGGCGGTTGTCCGAAACAACGGCTCAATTGCTCGGGAAAGGTAAGACGGATCTGGCTATGAATGCGCAGCCCTCGCGGGTTCCGTCATCTTGGCTGCCCAGCCCGTTTCCGGTGAATGCCCGCGCCATCCTCCGAAGCGCGCGCTGCTGTGCATTCTCCAACCCACGCCACGCCCCAACGAAGCTTCGTCGACAACTAGCTGCGTCTGCCAAACCTGCCTCGTTGATGTACCCGCGCTTGCCGAACCTGTCTCTGTACTAACCCTCGTAACCCTCGTTTGTCCCAAAATGCCTCTATGACCAACCCTCCTAGACCAGAACACAAACGGCAGAGCAAGAAGGCGGCAGCGAGAGGGCTCGAGAGAGTTGACACACTAACGGATTCCGATATAATGCGGACTCGGAGGGTTGTCGGCTACGAAGAACGCGCGCTGCTGACCGTGCAACCCCGAGGGACGCCCACGGCTTCTGAGTGCGACGAACGACGACGACAGCAGCACCGCCCATGGCTCGAATTGGTTTGCCAACAGACTAGAAGCTAAAGCTCCGCGCTCCGCTACCACTGTCACGACTATCGTGCTGTCGACTATCACCCCGTCGAACTATGCTGCAACGAAGCCCAGCCGGCAAGTTGAAGAACGACCACGTTGACAGCGGCCTTCGGGAAGCAGCTTATAGCGCGTACCGTGATGTCCTCCGCGGCGAAGGACCACTTGCCGAAGAGCTTCACCTCGTTGGCTGCCCCGGCGGGCGCCTCTGCGATCACGGCTTCTGCCATCCTTGCGATCCGGCGGGGCGGGACGTGTGCGGCACCTGGTAGGCTAAGGGACGGAGGAAGGAAACGATTCCAGGGCACTAGGCGCAGGGCAGGGGGCCAAGGCGAAAAGGAGGGAAGGCAGAAGAGATTAGGGCATAACAATGCGGCAGCGCGGAGGGAGGGGTAGGAGGGGCGATGAGGGTAGCGCAAGGTGAGCAGAGGGAAGGCGAGGAGGAGACGGGTCGCTAGGCGCGCGTGTAACCAGACGAAGCGAGGCGAGGTGGTAACTGGTCGTGGCAAAGATGTAAGCAGACCTCGGGTGGAAAGCCACCAAAGAAAGCAAAGGTGGAAAAACTTGCTGTCAGCATTTTTGCGAAATGTGTAACTAGATGTAGCCTACACTCTGGTCCGTGTACCTCCTAATCTCTATCGGGCTCCAGCCGTAATCGAGTAAAATACTTCAGGGAACCCAAGAAAGGCAATCTAACGACCAACCATGTAGCAACACCGTGGCATTATGAAGCTCCTTTCCGCTCTCTACGCGCGCCACGTTCACATTTCCAAGGTTCTCGCCCCCAAGCCCCATCCAAACTGGAACACTCAAGGTGCGTGCAATCCCAGTGCCATCGAAATTCGCTTCACGTTCTGGTTGCAGCTAGCCAGGGCGCAGCGTAGCAAGGAGTGAAGTGATTTGCAACGCTTGCTTCGCCATTTCTGTCGCTGGAAATTCGCAAGCTCGATTTGCGTGTCGTCGCGTCTGTGCCTGCGCTGGACGCTCCACTGCCGACGAGAATTCTGTGAGCACGCTGATCCACGCGCCGACGTCGATTCCCCAATGGCCGCCCTCCAGCAAGCCGCGTGCGTCAGCCTGCAGACGGCCTTCACGGGCCAACGTCTGAGTGCGGGTGGCGCAACAGCCGCGCGTGTCTCCATCGCGGCTCCCAAGTCCGTCGCGCCCGCACGCGCGCTTCTCGGTTAGTGCGCGCATTGTCGCTTGTAGCGTCGCGCCTTGCTGCGGCTTCAGCTTTCGGATTGCCTTATTAGAGGACTTATCGGCATTCAATGCGTTGGTGCCCCAAGCAACGCGGCTAACAATTCTCCCGCTTGTTTCCCCGTCGTTACCCGTCTATCCACTTCGTTTCACGTGGTTCGACTCGCCTTCGTGCAGAGGACGGCGGTTCAGTGGGCATGGCTGTTGCGGGAGGCGGTGCACTCGCAGCTCTCGCGACGGTGCTCTCCCTCGCCGACCCCGAGAAGAGGTGATTGCGCGGCCCCCCACCCTGCCGTCGCGCATTGCCCAGTTTGGATGTGCCTTGAAATGCCTGCGGTAGTAGTGCTAGATAATATAAATTTCGGTTACGCACGCTTTCCGCCCTTCCGTTTTGTTAGTCTTCTTGCCAATGCATCGCGTGCGCTCCTCTCGTCGTGGCATTCATGGCCCTGTTTGCTGCTGCGTGTGCGCGCAGGCGACAGCAACAAGCGGAGGAAGTGGGCGGCGACGAGAAGGATGCGGTAGGGCCGCTCACCGCCGTCACCCGATCGCGCCCGCTTTCTTACACCATAAATTCACTTCCTTATCACCTTTTCTCGCACTTGACGCGAATTGAGCTCCTTCCTACCCAGTGTTTCTCGGTCACCGTTCACGCTAGCTGCCGATTGACGCGTTATTTCGTGTGGTGTCCGCTGACGTGGCAGGTGCGCAACTACTTCAACACGGCGGGGTACGACAGGTGGCGCCGCATCTACGGCGAGACGGACGACGTCAACTCCGTGCAGGTCCGTCATGCTGCGTCCCTCGCGCCGTGCCACGGTGACCGGTGGGGAAGGGCGACAGGCGGAGGGGGGAAGGGAAGAGAGGGGAGGGGGAGAAGGGTGGGGAGAGGGTAGGAGAAAGATGAAGAGGAACCGGGGCCGGGGGAGGGCGCGTTGGTCCATCAAAGGAACTTCTTTGAAACTTTTTTGCTATGCTCCTTCGTGACAAACCAGTGCCGTTCATGAATAAAACCCCCTGCCATGCCGTTATAGATAGCAACCCCACGCACCCTCATTGCCTGTCGAAATGCGCGCTGCCTCTCGTGCTCGTCTCAGCGCATGACGTGCCCTCGTGCCCCTGCGTGCAGCTGGACATCCGTCAAGGCCACGCGCAGACCGTCGAGAAGGTGAGCGCCCGTCAGCCTTCTAGACAGCCGCCCCTCAACACATGTCTCCATCCCTCCTTCGCCTCGTGTGATTTGGCCGTCACGCCGTTCCTGTTGAGCAACGTTGGAGTGCCAACTTTCCCGCATTCTATGAGTGGACTCACCTGATCGCAATTTACCATATGAAACACTCAGTGTATTTCAGGCAGTACTACTATAGCCTTTATAACTGTGCATGTACACTGCACCTTACTGTACACTGCGCGTCACGGCAGGTGCTCAAGTGGTTGAGGGAGGAGGGATCTCTGGACGGCGTCACGGTGTGCGATGCGGGATGCGGCACTGGCAGGCAAGCACCCGCTCCTCCTCCTGCTCCTTGCTCCTTGCCCTCTCTCACCGCTTGGCCATCACCCGCCCTTGGCCTTAACCCTCCCCTTGACCTCATTCGCCCCTTGCCCGCACTCTTCCTTTACCCTCACTCGCCCCTTACAGTTGCGCTGCCGTTTATGCTCGCCAGACCTTAGGCTCGGTACATGCAGATGCTAATCCCACTACCGACATGTCTGCTGCTGCTGCCGCTGCTTCGGGAAAGTGCACTCTAAGCAGATGCGGGCAGTCCATGCATTGTACCGCTACCCCACAATCACCACGTTTCCGTTTCGCCTCCCTTCTCCCACCGCGTTCCCCACCTCCCCTCCCCGCCCCCCCCCGGCAGCCTGTCCATTCCGTTGGCGCTGGAGGGAGCCACAGTGTACGCCAGTGACATCTCGGCCGCCATGGTACGCATTGCTCTGTGCTGTCACCATTACACGTCTCAAAAATCCACTCTTAACTGCTGCCGTGCTATGCATTCCCATCGGCCGCCATGGCTCGCCCCTCCTGTGTCTGCTACCATGCGATGCCATTCCCATCCGTGATTCCAAGCAATGTCATTCCGGTCAGTGCACCACAGCCCGTCCGCGTACAGGCAACACCTGCCTGTGAGCTGCGTGGTGTGCCACCTACCCACCTGGACTAGATTCACCTGGCCCAAACCTGAACCAAGAAGCCTATCTCATCCACTCCTCTCGCCTCGTCCTTCTTCTCCCCAACGCTTCTCGCCTCTATTCCGCTTTCACGCCACTGAGCGTTTCGCGAACCAGGCTCGCCCCACTGCTTCTCACCACGCTGCTCTCCCGTTTTCCCGTTTCTGCCCACCTCGCCTCGCTTTGTTCTACCTTGCCTCGCCTTACTTTGCCTCGCATTGGCATGCGTTGCGTCATGGGAGAGCAGGCGGGAGAGGGCGCGGAGAGGGCCAAGGTGGCGCTGGCAGAGGCGAAGACGTCGAAGCAGCTGGTGATGCCGGTGTTCGAGGCCAAGGACCTGGAGTCCATTGACGGGAAATACCACACTGGTGAGCAATCTCAGGGATACCAACGGGCTTGGGCATGAAGAACAGTTCCTTGCAAAGAGTGTGTGATGCCGGAGTTTGAGGCCAAGGAACTGGAGTCCATTGAGGGGAATATTACACTGGTGAGAATAAGAGAAGGAGAACCACGCTGGAGAGACACTAGAAGAAACGTCGCACTGGAAAGAAAATCGAGAAGACAGTGTACACTGGGAGGAGCTACCTTGTTACAGATTTAGGGAGTTGAAAGGGTGATGCCACAAGTCAGCAGTGCCGTGCACCAGCAGTGCCGTGTATTGCAGCAGTGTAGGGGGTGTGTGATTCCCACGTGCCATGCCACGAGCCATGCGACACTAGGCAATTAACCCCGCAGGCAGGGCTGCATGCAAGCCTGAGGGAAGGGTCACAGGGGACCGATGGTGCTCTGTGGCTCTTCATCTCACTCCCCTCTTCAATCCCTTATGCCCTCTCAAATCTTCCCTTCTCCGCAATCCTGCATCTCTTTTTGTTCCCCGCTGAACCTCTCCTCGCCCACCCCGATGGAGCATGCCTCAAAGTCAGTCACAATCAATTCTCGCTCTCCACATCCCCCTGCCCGTCCCCTCCCGCAGTGACGTCTCTGAAAGTGCTATTATGCCGCCTACATAAAATAATTTCAAAATTGTCCCTCCCCCTCCGTTTTACCTCTTCCCGCTCCCTTAACCCCCCACCCCCCCCTCCTCCTCCCGGTGCAGTGACGTGTCTGGACGTGCTGATCCACTACCCACAGGACAAGTCAGACGCCATGATTGCGCACCTCGCCTCGCTCGCCACCGACAGAGTCATCCTCAGCTTCGCCCCCTACACGCCCTACTACGCCTTCCTCAAGGTACCCTCTCGCCCTACGCCTTCCTCAAGGTGCCCTCTCGCCCTGCTCTCTTCTTGCACTCGTCCCTGAAGGCTGAAGCTTGCTTGCCACGTCGATTGACACTCCAGCTGCTGCTGCCCATGTCATCCCTCCCATGGATGGCTGTGTTCCACTTGTGCCCTTCCACTCTCCATCCACCATCAAGCCATGGCCACACCAAGCCACACCACACACCCCATCGTCTTCCCCTCACACCTCTCCCTCCTGCCACCCATGCCCATGGCTGCGCCCCCCTCTACTGTGCAGCGAGTGGGCGAGCTGTTCCCCGGCCCATCCAAGGCCACACGCGCCTACCTGCAATCAGAGGAGGAGGTGGAGGGCGCCCTCAAGGTCAGCTCCCTCACTCATTCACTCTCTCGCTCATTCACTCGCTCATTCGCTCCATCGCTCATTCACCCACTCACTCATTCACTCGCTTGCGCATTCACTCACTCACTCTCATTCACTCTTTCTCATTTACTCACTCATTCACTCACTTTCATTTACTCTCTCTCATTCCCTCACGCTCGCACTCACTCACTCTCTCATTCACTTATTCACTCACTCCACCACCACTCTCCACTGCCATGCTCCAGTACCACGCCCTAGCACTTTCCGCTTGCAAGCATAGCCATCCAAGTGCCACGCTCTTCTATGCTCGTTCTCTTCCAAGTGCCGCCGCCACCACCACCATCCCACTGGACCTGCATCACTGCACCACACTTCTCTGCTCTCCTCATTCCTGCCGTGCCATAGCGCCTGCTAATGCTGGATTTGCCGCTTCCTCCCACCTCTGTGTTGCTATGTGCTGTCTCTGTGTTGCTATGTGCTGCCTCTGTGTTGCTATGTGCTGCCTCTGTGTTGCTATGTGCTGCCTCTGTGTTGCTATTTGCTGCCTCTGTGTTGCTATGTGCTGCCTCTGTGTTGCTATTTGCCGCCTCTGTGTTGCTATGTGCTGCCTCTGTGTTGCTATGTGCTGCCTCTGTGTTGCTATGTGCTGCCTCTGTGTTGCTATTTGCCGCCTCTGTGTTGCTATGTGCCGCCTCTGTGTTGCTATGTGCTGCCTCTGTGTTGCTATGTGCTGCCTCTGTGTTGCTATGTGCTGCCTCTGTGTTGCTATTTGCCGCCTCTGTGTTGCTATGTGCCGCCTCTGTGTTGCTATGTGCCGCCTCTGTGTTGCTATGGGCTGATTTGCTTCCTTCGCACCTGTCGTGTGTTGGTCTGGCAGAAAGCGGGGTGGAGAGTGGTGAAGAAGGAAATGACGGGCACCAAATTTTACTTCTCCCGCCTCTTTGAGGCCGTTCCTATCTAGGGACCCATTCACTCCACATTGTAGCTTTGCGTTTCTCGTATGTATTCTTATGTGCATGATGGAGCTTGCAATGTATTGCAACCTTTTTTTTTCCTCGTTGCACACCTTTTGTTTCAACCTAATGCCATGATCCCCAAATGGAAGATGTATGGAATATCAACTCAACCTCTTAAGGAAGTTTGGACTTTGTTTACCCCTGCCCAGGGAAAAGGGCTAGAGAATTTCAGGGAAAAAGGTTTAGACAATTTCTGTCAATTTTACTGTCAGGAAATAGGTACCGTGTATAATACCTTTGGTGTGCGTTATGGATCACGGTGTGTGGCAGACCGCTAGGGATTGGCTTTTCCTTCCGCAACGATTTTCTTTCGCACGATAACTCTCTCGCTGGGATCCGATTTCGCAGACGCGAATGCACGGAATTCCGTTCACACCAATTTCCGCTATGCGTGTTGGGGTGGGAGCTGACTTCGCGACACCTCGCGAGGGTAGCAATCTCCGGGTGACCAGGCCAACACGGAGCTGCATCAGCGGGAGCAGACTGACAAGGTGTTGTCACCCCAGAATCAACGGCTGCTTTGAGTTATCATACATCGCTGTTGCCGTTTCGGATTGCGTACGAATTGAAGTCATCTGTGTCTTGCGCGTACAAGGCAGTCGTCTTGCTTCCCAAATCGATGGTGTTCGTCGAGAGTGGGGCTGGACCCCTCCGGCCAGGACATAATGCCCAAACATGGCATAGTGTGGGAAGCTTCCATTGCGTCCAGCTCGGGAACCTACTACCATTCTGACTTACTGAGTCAGCCAGATTTCACCTAGCCGCGTCACCAGTGGTGCCCCCCATGGGCGGTTCCGGCGCGACGTTCTGGCAAGGGCGGAAGGGGCAGCCCTCGCCGCTAGGAGGGGCGGGCCCGGTGGGCCTCGTCTGTTCTTGTAACGCCTGTGGGCTGAGTGTTAATGGGCATTCCGCTGCGCCAAATAACACCCTCGTTTTGACCCAGTGGGTAGCGAGGTGTTATACTAGTATCCAGAGCCTAGGGTTCGATTCCCGTCTGGTCCACATTGTCCGCTTTGAGCGAGACCTGGAATGTGGTATCCCAGTCGCGAACCCAGTGAACGATCCTCCGCTGGCCTGACCTCACCAGCGAAGTCGCTGCTTGGAGCACAGCGAATAGGTCCCTGCGGGGGCCGACTCCCTGAAGTTCGTCAACGAGGACGTTGACACCAGGGGGGGACGTTAATGGGCATTCCGCTGCGCCAAATAACACCCTCGTTTTGACCCAGTGGGTAGCGAGGTGTTATAGTTCTTGTGCTCTCGCGCCCCTGCGCCCCTGCTATCGCGAGCGACAATTAATCATCCCCGACCCGTTCAGTGTTGAAAGCCCTGGTCGCGCAGGCTGCTGCTTTAGAAGCGACTGTCAGAAGCCCCTATTCCCACACAGCCGTAAGTTCGAAACAACCAATAAACACTACACGCGATCGTCTTATGGAGCCAACAGTAGGATTCCCGAGTCGCGAACAAAGTAATGCCACCTGCAGGCAATGCAAAGAGAGTACTACCTTCGCAACAAACCTAAACAAGCCTCCCACGTGGACCTCAGACATGGTCTTGGGATGGGCGGGTCACCATGATGGTGAGGTGGAGTTTTTGGAGAAGATGAGGCGACGACTGGACAGGTGCTACCCGCGGGCCAGTTGCAAGTATATGCATACATTTACCTCTAGACGTGGTCTCAACCGAATGATGTACTCACCTAGCTGGACAGCGAGAAGTTCATGGAAATGACGTGGAAAAGACGTGGCTCATCCCTTCTTCCTGTGACCCGTCTTCCACCCCCCAAACCATCCCATTTCCCTTTCCCCCCCAACTGTCGTTCTTCCCCTGCGTGAAAGTGTCTTGGCGCAAGTGGACGTGTGGTTGAGAGCATGAACGGGACAAGAGGTCTGCGCATTTACCTCTTCTCCTTCTCCCCATCTCCCACCCCAACCTCCCTCCCCTTCTCCCTTCCACATCCCTTCCCGTTGTTCCCCAGCAAGGGAGTGCTGTTCCCCGGAGCAGAGGTGCGAAAGTTTTGCGGGATTGACTGCATCCGCCTCGGCGAAAAATTTGCGGGCTGCAAGGGGCGTTATCGAGGGGCGTGCCCATTCACCCTTTCTGTTCCCCCATCTCCCACCCCAATCCGTCAGCGTGGGAGTATCGTTCCCCGGAGTGGAGGTGCGGTTTGAGGGGGTGAGTGCGTGCGCCAAGGTGCAGGTGGGGGCGAGGGGGCTGCCCACGCTGCTCAACCAGCTCGCCGATTCTGTCGGGGCGCTGCTGGGGGGTGTGCGGCTACTCAACGACCAGTGTCGCCTCTTCTTTGCTCTTCATGGCTGCTCTGGCATCCTCAAGCCTGGCAGGTACGGATGTTCCATTCCAAGCCTAGCAGATGTTGACGGAGCCCTGGCAGATGTTGACGGAGCCCTGGCAGATGTTGACGGAGCCCTGGCAGACGAGGACAGGCGTCGCCTGATGATGCTGCCCCCCCCCCCATTCACAGGAAGACGCTGCCTCCGGATTGAATGGTGGTATTTCTTCCTTAGCTGGATAACACCACCCCACTCCACCACCTGAGCCCTTGACTCACAGGATGCTGCTGCTGGGTTCGCCAGGCAGCGGCAGCAAGCCAACGTTGCTCACGATCCTCATTGAGACGGCCCAAGCGGTCCGCATCGGATTACCACCTCATCACCCTGTTCCGCCTGCTCCCCAACCCACAGGATGACGTTGCTGCTGGGCCCACCAGGCAGCGGCAAGTCAACGCTGCTCAACATCCTGGCAGGGAAGGCAGAGAGGGAGCTGCGCGTGCAGGGCGAGGTGACATACAATGGCCGTCACAGGAGCGAGTTTGTGCTGCCGCGCTCCGTGGCGTTCGTGCCTCAGACGGACTCCCACATTGGCGAGATGACTGTGAGGGAGACCCTCGAGTTCTCCGCTCGCCTGCAGGGACCGGGCCACCTGACAGGTGAGGTTTGAGGCGGCTGCAAGCACACAGGGGAGGGACGGCCGTACTGTTGAATGACCGTTGAAGAGACTCTTGGTCACCTTCGGTCCTGGGCACTTGAAACAGACACTCCTTCCTCCCTCCCTCCCTCCCGCCCTCCCTCCTCCTCTCCCTCCCTCCCTCCCTCCCTCCCTCCCTCTCTCTCTCCCTCCCTCCCTCCCTCCCTCCCTCCCTCCCTCCCTCCCTCCCTCCCTCACTCCCTCCCGTCCCTCCCCGCGTCGCGCCTTCCCCTCGCGCGCTGTGGGTACAAATGCATGCCCACCATTCCTCTCTCTTCTTACCCCACCACTCGTATCCTGTCCATTCTGCACCTAATGTACGGCGCTCCTCTCTCTGCAATAACACGGCCCACCTCACTCTGCTCGCCGTGCAGACCTGTTTCGGCAGCTGGAGGAGAAGGAGCGGGAGATGGGGGTCAAGTCCGATGCTGTCGTGCAAGCCGTTATCAAGGTGACAGTGACGTAATGGGCGTGATGACATCATGGGGTGATGATGTTATGCAAGCCGTATTGTAGATGGTGATGATAAGGTCATGGGGGTGTTGATGCCATGGGGGGGTTGTTGATTTGATGCCATGGGGGGTTGTTGATTTGATGCCATGGGGGGGTTGTTGATTTGATGCGATGGGGGGGGTTGTTGATTTGATGCCATGGGGGGGTTGTTGATTTGATGCCATGGGGGGGTTGTTGATTTGATGCCATGGGGGGGTTGTTGATTTGATGCCATGGGGGGGTTGTTGATTTGATGCGATGGGGGGGGTTGTTGATTTGATGCGATGGGGGGGTTGTTGATTTGATGCCATGGGGGGGTTGTTGATTTGATGCCATGGGGGGGTTGTTGATTTGATGCCATGGGGGGGTTGTTGATTTGATGCCATGGGGGGGTTGTTGATTTGATGCCATGGGGGGGTTGTTGATTTGATGCCATGGGGGGGTTGTTGATTTGATGCCATGGGGGGGTTGTTGATTTGATGCCATGGGGGGGTTGTTGATTTGATGCCATGGGGGGGTTGTTGATTTGATGCCATGGGGGGGTTGTTGATTTGATGCCATGGGGAGGATAACGTCATGAGGGGGATGGTGTCATAGGGGGATGGTGTCATAGGGGGATGGGGTCATAGGGGGATGGTGTCATAGGGGGATGGTGTCATAGGGGGATGGGGTCATAGGGGGATGGGGTCATAGGGGGATGGGGTCATAGGGGGATGGTGTCATAGGGGGATGGGGTCATAGGGGGATGGGGTCATAGGGGGATGGGGTCATAGGGGGATGGTGTCATAGGGGGATGGTGTCATAGGGGGATGGTGTCATAGGGGGATGGGGTCATAGGGGGATGGTGTCATCAAGGTGTTGACGTCACCGTCACATCTATGGTGAAACTCTTGTTTTCCCCAAACGTGCATGCGTAGATACTTCTCTTGAGTAGGAAAAGACGTTTCAGTCTACCCAAGTTGACGTCCGAGTCGATTTGAACACTTGCGTTTCTGCTGCCTCCTGTTCTTATGTCGGAGGTAGGTTTGGTTGCCAAGTTGATAACCCATCTGTTCTGGAAGTGCGATGTCTTGTGGCTCTTTAAACATTGTCTCGTCATGAGTGGCGTTTGAGGCGCCTCAAGGGAAAGTTCACCGTGCATGAAAAGATAAAGCGATAAAGCGGGACCTCCTTTGCGCCCATGTGACAGAAAAGAAAGATATACGTACATCTGTAAGAGTGTTTGGATGGACAGAAATTTGAAAACCCAACTGCTCCCCTCCAAAAACTCTTCCCTTCCCTTTTCCTTTCCAGTGTTGCTGCATGCGTGATCAATGCTCCTGCAGGCGATGGGTGATGAGAGGCGGTGGTCAGGTGTTGTGGTGCCATACGTCCTTAAGGTGCGTGGGTGTGTGTGGGTGTATGTGTGTGTGTGTGTGTGGGTGTCAGTGTGTGTGTGTGTGTGTTGTGTGTGTGTGTGTGTGTGTGTGTGAGTGTGTGTGTGTGTGTGTGTGTGTGTGTGTGTGTTCGTCATTTTTTTCTCCTTTCTCCGCTCATTTACCAGTACCGCACTCTTCCCTTATTTTCTCTCGGCCACGCAGGCAACCGTCTGTTTCTCTCTGCCCACATTCGTCAGCACTAAGCACGCCGCACTGCCCTCGCACAACTCATCCCTACACTCCATTGCTCTATCCCCACGATAACACCTGGCTTGCACATGTGTGCTGATACCGCAATGAGAGACACCGTGTGGTAAGCGATTCTCAGTCCAGCCGCCTCCTCCGCTCTGTCTTCCACCCCTTGCCTTGCCACCTCTTCTGCAGATGCTCAGCCTGGACGTGTGTGCTGATACCATGGTGGGGGACAGCATGCGGAGAGGAATATCAGGAGGCGAGAAGAAGCGGTTGACCATCTCCGAAGCACTCCTCGGTGCGAAACAAGTCCTCCTATTGGACGAGATCTCCACCGGGCTCGACTCTTCCACTGCCTACCGGATCATACAGTGTCTGTGCAGCCTCACGCACTTAACTAATACCACCACCCTCATCTCCCTGCTGCAACCCGCACCGGAAACCTTTGAGCTGTTCGATGACGTCATGCTGATGTCAGAGGGGCGGATTGTGTACCATGGGCCCCGGGAGGAGGTGTTGGGATTCTTCCAGGAAATGGGGTTTGCGCCGCCCGCCCGCAAGGGAGTGGCTGACTTCCTGCAAGAGGTGCGTTTCCCCCGTGCTGCCTCTCAGTTGCGCCCGAATAGTCTTGAAGGTAACTCGCATGTTTGTCCCAAGGTGCCTCGAGTTGGTCCCAATAGTGTTTATCGTCTGGTTTTTTTTCTCAGCTACTGTTCGTCGGCTTCCTGTTTGTGTGTCTCCAATCCCCCCTATAGGTCACCTCGTTAAAAGACCAGGAGCAGTACTGGCACCCATCCCAGCCCCACACATACCGCTACGTGTCTGTCCGAGCCTTTAAGGAGGCCTTCCGAGAATCCTGGTTCGGGAAGCAGATGGAAGCAGAGCTGTCCATTCCATTCAAGAAGGATCGGGTCACAGTCAAGGGAGAGGATGGGGGAAAAGAGGCGGAATACATGGAAGAAGGTCAGGGCAAGGACGCGGAAAATGGGGGAGAGGGGGGAAACGGATGCAGCGAGGAGGGGTGTGTGTCTCGTGCAGTGGCACAGAGGCGGTTTGTGCTTCCCCCTCTTGCCATGCTCAGAGTTGTGGTGGGCCGTGAGTGGCTGCTGATGAGGCGGAATCTGCTGCTCTACATCGTGCAGACCGTGCAGGTATAGCTGATGCTCGTTACGGTCACAGTAACCGACGGAAATTTTTCCCTCTACACAATGCAGACCACGTAGGTACCATGCTGTTCTTTACAGTCAAAATTGGCTCCCTCCCCCTTTTACATCACCCTTTATTTCTTCCTTCTCTTGTATCCCACTGCAGTTGCACACATTCATCTTCCTTATCCCCTCCCATTACCAGATCCTCCCCCTCGCGATAGTCACAATGACTGTCTTCTGGCGCTCCCAGTTCACCATAACGCCAGTGGACGGCAACTACTATCTGGGAGCCATCTTCTTCGGCATAATCACCATGCTCTTTGGCGGCTTCATAGAGATCACGCTGCTCACGGCCCGTCTGCCCATCTTCTTCCTCCAGCGGGACAGCCTGCTCCTCCCCGCGTGGGCGTGGTGTGTCCCCATGGCGCTGCTCTCTCTGCCCGTCTCCCTCTGGTCCGCTGCAGTCTGGACCGCCGTCACCTACTATGGCATCGGATTCGCCCCGGAGTTCTCCCGGTGAGTCGTTCACCTCACCTACATAGGTAGGTTCAGTGAGGTACAGTACGGTCCTCCAGGTAGGTCTCTTCGGGGACTCATATCGCACATATCACTTGTCCTTTTTTGCAGCCTCTGCGTTCTTCCTATTCGTGAGAAGCAAGGCACGAGAGATTTCTTGCAGCTCCTGAGGCTCCTGCTGCCGTTTTCCCCCCGCCACCCCTATCTCCCCTTCCCCCCTCCCTCACCCTAAACCTGAAACCCTGTCAACCTCACTCACATTCTCCCCTGCCTATCTCTCCTCCCTTGCAGCTTCATCACCCAGCTACTGCTATTCTTCCTGACCCACGCGGCCACGTCTGCTCTGTACCGCGCTATGGGAGTCATTCTGCGCAGCACGGTGCTGGTCAACACGCTTGGCAACTTCATCCTCGCGCTGCTCTTCCTGCTCTCAGGCTTCATCATCACCAAACGTACGTGCTGTGCTTGTGAGGGCTGTTGGTACTTATCTGCATTGCATAGGTAAATAGTGGACCCACTCGTGCCTCGTTTGTGTGAGAGCAGCCAGCCGCATTCAGGCCTCCTCTTTCTACACGTTGGTTTCCTCATTATCAAACGCTTGTGGTCGGGGTTTCTGCTATACATGAGCAAGGCCTGAATTGCGTGTGGGTGTACTGGCTGTCTGTCGCCCCTCGCCTACTGTTCCCTCGCCCCTCGCGTCTGTCATCGCATCCCATCTTCTCCTGTTCCATGCCCCCCCCGCCTTGCCCCTGCAGCGGACATCCACGGCGTGTGGGTATGGGTGTACTGGCTGTCACCGCTCACTTACGTGCTCAACGCTTTCTCCACCAATGAGTTTCTCGCCCCCAGATGGGATGTGGTACGTGCTGTGCCTCAGTAAGGTATGATACGGCACGGTGCGTAACGGTACAGTACGGTAGAGTTTGGTATGTTAGTTTATGGTTGGGAATAGCATGTGCAGCACAATGTATGCACACAGTGTACTTGGTTTTCTACTCCCCCGCAAGGGATGTGGTATGTGATGTTGAGTGGCATGCAATGTGGTGGGCATCAGGCACGTCATGCTGTGTCGTAGCACGTGCTGTACCATGCCATGTGTGGTGCCTGCATACATGTCTTTTTCTGATTAACAAGAACCCACATCTCCCTCATTCCGTTCGCATTGTCCCCAGTTGGTTTATCTGGCTCCAATCTGCTTCTCCCTCCTTTCCCCCCTCCTTCCTCCTCTCCTTTCTTCTTCCCCCCTTATTCTTCCATCCTCCTCCCTCTCATCCCTTCGCCCCCTTTCCTCCCTCCTGCCACATATCCATTCTCTCATCCATCTCATCTCTTCCTTCCCTCGCCCCCTCCTGCCAGCCCTCTATGCCACCATCACTGAACGTGACAATGGGAGTGCAGGTGCTAGAGGCGCGCAGCCTGTGGACTCAGGGCTACTGGGTGTGGGCGGGTGCTGCCATCAGTGTCTTCTTCACTCTCTTCTGCAACGCAGTTACCATCCTCGCACTCAAATATCTCAACTGTAAGCGCCGCACTTAAATATCTCAATCCTGTTCTTGCTTCCTCCCTTCCTCTTGCCTCCCCTTCCTCTTGCCTCCCCTCCCTTCCTCTTGCCTCCCCTTCCTCTTGCCTCCCCTCCCTCTTGCCTCCCCTCGCTTCCTCTTGCCTAATCCCAACGCACCTCTCTCACGGTGCTCCGCTGTCCCCGCCCTCATCCTCCTCATCCGCTCACCCTCTGTTTCACCCTCCCTCCCGCGGCCTCACCCAAGGAGCAACCAGTGATCCCCCCAACTCACCCTGCTCTTTCCCTCTTCCTTCTCCTCATTCCATATCCAACCCTGTCTCTTCCGACAATTTGACGTCCCAACTCACTCCCCTCTTGCTCTCTCCCTCCTCTTCCCAATCTTCACCCCTTCCTCCCGCCCCGCCCACCCCCGCGCACCCCCAATTCCCCAGCGTGGCCCAAGGCGCAGCCAGTGATATCCCAGCATCAGCTAGACGCGCGGGAAGCAGCTCTGACCGGAACAAATCTGCTGAGAAACGACCGTCTTGAAAGAGAGCACAGCAGAAACAAGCTGTTCCCTTGGGCACACAGAACAGCAGCCGCAGGAGAATCCATAGCAGCATCACCAGCAGCAGCAGGAGCAGCAGCAGGAGAACCCACAGCTGCAGTAGCACCAACAACAGCAGCAGGAGCAGGAGCAATCACAGCGTCGGAAAGAATCCTTCATGTCCTTCCTGCAGATGCGCATGACCCTGATCCGAACCACAAAGCACATCATGGCTCTGATGGCCATGATACTGCCAGTGCTCTATCTGGTGTGGGGGAGGTGAAGCAGCACGGCATGGTTCTTCCGTTCACCCCTCTCACTCTCTCGTTCCACAACGTCAACTACTCCGTTCCCCTCTCCTGCCCCAGGAGATTGACAGGGATGTGATCTTGGTGAGTCATGGTAGTGCTCATGGTGAGTCATGGTAGTGCTCATGGTGAGTCATGGTAGTGCTCATGGTGAGTCATGGTAGTGCTCATGGTGAGTCATGGTAGTGCTAATGGTGAGTCATGGTAGTGCTCATGGTGAGTCATGGTAGTGCTCATGGTGAGTCATGGTAGTGCTCATGGTGAGTCATGGTAGTGCTCATGGTGAGTCATGGTAGTGCTCATGGTGAGTCATGGTAGTGCTCATGGTGAGTCATGGTAGTGCTCATGGTGAGTCATGGTAGTGCTCATGGTGAGTCACGGTAGTGCTCATGGTGAGTCATGGTAGTGCTCATGGTGAGTCATGGTAGTGCTCATGGTGAGTCATGGTAGTGCTCATGGTGAGTCATGGTAGTGCTCATGGTGAGTCATGGTAGTGCTCATGGTGAGTGTAAGGGTGTGGTCGTGGTGAATGCAGTGGTAGCTCATGCCTCATCCTCATCCCTGCCCGCCTGCACTTGCAGAAATTAGTGGAGGCGGTGAATGGAGCGCTGGTCACTGGTGCGGTGGTGACGACTTCCCATCGACTCTTGTGTTCTCTCTACCCTCTCCTCCTCGCGTCGCCCTCTTCTCTCCCCCTCCTGTCCGGAAAGATTTGTGTGGAGGAAGTAATGGTGGAGGCGACTTTTGAGTCGGCTCAAGATTAATGCAGGTGGTGGAGCTCGAGCCGGCAGGGCAGGGCGAGCTGTCAGGTGAAGCCTGAAGGGACCACAACACCCCCCCATCCTCGCTCCCCTGTTTGCCATATCCCACAGGAATTTGTGGCGGAGGTGGAGGAGCTGGTGGAGCTGGAGGCGGTGAAGGGCGCGGTGGTGGGGAGGGCGGGGCAGGACGGGCTGTCGGTGGAGCAGAGAAAGCGGCTGACCATCGCAGTGGAGCTCGTAGCCAACCCCTCCATCATCTTCATGGATAAACCCACCTCAGGTACCACCTCCCCCGCAGTCATTACCTCCCCCTCAGGTAACACCTCCCCCTCGGGCAATGCTTAACAGACAGCTGTGCATCAGGTTACACCTCCCGCTCAAGCAGCATCTGCCCATCAGGTAACACCTATTCCTTAGGAGATATTCGTTTCATTGTGTTGCTCTTTCAGGGAGCGGGCTGGATGCGAGGGTGTGGGTTCACCTCTTTCCCCACCTTTGTACCCCTTCCTGTCACTATCTTACTTCTTGCCCTCACATTTGTTCACCCTCTTGACTCTCTCTCCGTCCCCTCCCCACACGCTGAGCAGGCAGGGCTGGATGCGAGGGCAGCGGCCATAGTGATGAGGGCGGTGCACAACACAGTGAAGACGGGCCGCACAGTGGTGTGCACCATCCACCAGCCTTCCATCCACATCTTGGAATCGTTTGATGAGGTACAAATCCATATTGACATAAACGTACAGACTGAGAGTACAGTATAAGTGTGAAAGATGTGAATTGAACAAGTGATTTGATTAGAGAGCAAACCTAGCATACATAGTTTGGGAAGAGAAGCTTGGAAGGGAAGGAGGAACCCAACCTATGGTTGGGTTGGCCTCACTTTGGGAAGTGAGGTAACCATAGGTGGGGTGGGTTGGGTTGCCCACACTTCTAAGAAGTGTGGCAACCCTAGGCCCACTTGGCTTGTGGTGGCCTCAATTGTGAAGTGAGGTACCCAAAAAGTCAAGAGGGTTGCAATTTGGGGGCTCCACCACAATTGGGTGGATTGGCACCCCAAAGTGCAAGGCTACACCCAATGTTGGGTGTAGTCCCAACCCAACTGTACACCACAATTGGTGTACAGTCACATGTGCTTAGCATGCTACAATATATATAATTCTAACACAACCCCTTAGCATGCTAACACAAGAAGAGAACAACCCCTGAATCAAGGAGCGCCCGGGCGAGCGAGGCCGATGAGGCGGAGGAAAGCGGAGTGCGCAGGGCGAAGGAGGGCCTTGGTAAAAATGTCGGCCAGGTTGGCCTCGGTCGCAATTTTGCGAACGGCAATGAGACCCTTCTGGACAAGCTCGCGAATGAAGAAATAGCGGAGCTCGATGTGCTTGGAGCGGGCATGGTAGACAGGGTCCTCAGTGAGATGGATGGTGCTGGCATTGTCGCACCAGAGAGTGGGGCATGTCTGGGGAGCGCCGAGCTCGGCAAGGAGGAAGCAGAGCCAGCGGGACTCCTGAGCGGCCATGGTGCCGGCGTAGAGCTCGGCCTCGCAGGTGGAGAGAGAGATGGCGGAGGAGCGGGTGGAGCGCCAGCTGATGAGGCCGCTGCCAAGGGTGAAGCCGTAGCCCTGGGAGTAGCGGCCGGTCCGGCTGCGTGTCGGCCCAGGAGGAGTCGCTGAAGCCCGAGAGGAGAGGAGGGGAAGAACCGCCAAGGGTGAGGGCAAGGTCCTTGGTCCCTCGAAGGTAGCGGAGGACCCGCTTGGCCGCCTTCCAGTGCTCCTCACTGTGGCGGCCGGTGCCGACGAAGCGAGCGAGCACGCTGATGGGATAGGCGAGGTCGGGGCGGGTGCACATCATCGCGTACATCAGGGACCCAACGAGCTCGGCATAGGGGTGAGGGGAGGAGGTGGGAGAGGTGGGTGGGGCGAGTTGGTGGCCGAAGGGGAGGGGGGTGGAGACGGGCTTGGCCTGCGCCATGTCGAACTTCTCCAAGATCTGGCCGATGTAATGGGACTGGGAGAGGGTGATGGTGCGAGCAGAGCGGTCACGAGTGATAGCCATGCCCAGGTAGTGGGTGAGGGCTCCAAGATCTTTGCACTTGAGACGCTGCTGCAGGGACTGCTTCATCTGCTCCATGTCGGCCTTCGTGTCAGAGAGCAGGATCATGTCATCCACGTACACCAGGATGAAGAAGCGGCGAGGGGAGGAGCGGATGAAGAGGCTGGCGTCGGAGTGGGAGGGAGAGAAGCCGAGTGACCCTAAGGTGGCAGCCAGCTTTGCATGCCACTCGCGCGGCGCCTGCTTCAAGCCGTAGACAGGGCGACGCAGCTGCCAGACAGTGTTCTCAGGGAAGGCTGCATGGAACCCAGGTGGCCGGCGGAGGAAAATGCGCTCATGCAGGTCGCCCTGTAGGAACGCATTGGAGACGTCCATGCAGTCGATCTCCATGTTATCACGCGCACCAACGTCGAGGGTTGCGCGAAGGGTGGGGGGTTTGGCGGTGAACCAAAAATCCTCCCCATGTGTCTGTGTAAAGCCCTTGGCGCAGTAGCGGGAATTGTAGACCGGTTCCTCGTCCGGCAGTTGCTTCACCCGAAAGACCCACTTGCCCTCGACAAGATTGGCACCGTCAGGGAGGGGAACGTCGACGAAGGAGTCGTTGCGGATAAACGCCTCGCACTCCTGGAAGATTGCTGCTATCCACTTGTCCGCGTCAGGGCATGTGATGGCCTCTTGGAAAGTGGAGGGAGTGAAGATGGTGGGGGTGGAGGTGGCGCCGAGGACGGGGAAGCCAAGGAAGTCAAGAAAGAGGGTGGCTATGAACGGAGTGTGCTGCTGGATGGCGAGGAACTCCTCGTGAGAGTCCTCAAGGAGTTGCAGGGAAGGAGGAGGAGGGGTCCCAAGGATGGGATCCAGAGATCGGGTGTGCATGCGGGGAAGGAGAAAGGGGGAGGAGCGGGAGGTGGCGCGCTGTCGCTGCGGGCAATGGGGTTGCTGCCCCTGCTGAGGCCGCTGCTGCTGTTGCTGCTGCCGTTGCTGCTGCTGCTGCTGCCGTTGCTGCTGCACCGGTCGCTGCTGCTGCTGCCATCCCGGCTGCTGCTGCTGCTGCTGCTGCTGCTGCTCCGGCTGCTGCTGCTGCTGCTGCTGCTGCTGCTGCTCCGGCTGCTGCTGCTGCTGCCCAGGCTGATGCTGCTGCTGCTGCCCCGGCTGCTGCTGCTGCTGCCCCGGCTGCTGCTGCTGCTGCGGAAGGGCGGGAGAGTGATGGGAGGAGGGAGGGGAGGGAGGGGGTGCAGCTGAGTGGGGGGGGGAGGCGGGTGCAGCGGGGTCGTAGACGTCGGCAGAGGAGGGAGGCGGGAGTGGAGCGGCGATAGGTGGGAGGAGGGGAGCGGGGGGGAGGAGAGGCGGGAGGACGGTGTCGGTCCAGGCGAGAGGGCGAGTAGGAGGAGGGAGAGGATCAGGGGGAGGAGTGGAGTAATAGGGGACGGACTCGTCGAAGACGACGTCGCTGCTGCGGATGAGGCGATTGGTAGGAGGGTGGAGGAAGAGGTAGCCTGGGGAGTCGCGGTTGTGCCCAAGGTAGACACATTCCAGGGCACGGGGAGCAAGTTTGCCAGCGGCGCGGGAGCGATCGGCGGGTGGAATGAGAACGTAGGCCTTGCATCCCCAAACTCGAAGGCCGGCAGCGTCAGGTTTGGTGTTGGACCAAAGCTCTGTGGGGGAGGAGGAAGGGTGCTGAGGATGGGAGCGGAGATTAAGGAGAAGGGCGGCGTGGAGAAGGGCATAGCTCCAGAGGGAAGGCGGGGTGGAGGCATGAGCAATGAGACAGCGAGCTATCTTGGTGATCTCACGAATGCGGCTCTCGGCAATGCCGTTCTGCTGAGGGGAATATGAAATAGTGTTCTTCAAGACATGTCAGTACAAAATTTTAATTAAAAATAAACTAGAGTATTACTTTTATAAAGGAATAAGAATCTTTTGCTTTTGAAATCTATAAAAGAGAATTAGCAAAATTAAATAGAAAAGTGTGTGTTTTGAATTAAGTCAGTTTATATCTTTTTTATCGAATTACGTGGGGAAGAGTGGAGGTCTGTTGGATACCGTAGGTTTTGCAGTATGTGGCGAGAGTGTTATTGATGAACTCACCCCCACCGTCAGAGTGAAGGCGGCCAATGGGGCGTTTGAAGTGATTGCGGCACAGCTCGGCCCAGTTGATGACCACTGCCGGCACCTGGTCTTTCGTATGAAGAAAGAAGGTGGTGGAGTACCGGCTGTGGTCGTCAACGAGGACGAGCATGTACCGGTGCCCCTGGCGGGAGCGGATGGGATAGGGGCCCCAGAGGTCCATGTGGACAAGGTCGATGGGGGCGGCGGCGAAGGTGGGATGACTGTGGTGGGGTGACTGCTTGAGCTTGCCGTGAATGCATGAAGGGCATGGGGGAGAGGGGGAGGAGGGAAGCGGGGGTAAGACGGGAGGAAGGCTGCGGAGGAGGCGGGAGGTGACTGTGGTGCGAAGGGCGGTGAAGTTGGGATGGCCGAGTCTGTGGTGTAAGAGAACGGCAGGGTGCGAGAGGGTAGTGGAGGAGGAGGGAGATGGGGTGATGGAGGGGACGGGAGGGGAGGAGGAGGACGGCGGGGAGGGAGAGGATACCTGAGGGGGAGGGGAGGGGGGAAGTAAAGGAGGGGGGGGTGGACCGGTGGAAGTACCAGCACGGGTGGTGACGTGGCAGTAGGATGTGCGAGGTGTGCGGAGAGTGTAGAGGCGAGTGCGAGGGCAGAGTGGGATGCGGAGGAGGAAGCGGCCACAGGAAGTCTGGTAGAGGTCACAGTAATTGGCATAACCAGGGTAGATGGCAGTGATACCAACACCTTGGAGCTCACGGTGGGAGATGAGGTTGTTGCGGAAAGTGGGGATGTGGAGGCCTGTGACTTTACCGGAGGGGAAGGCAGTGCAGGGGAGGGTGGAGAGATGAGTGCAAGGGATGGAAAAACTGGAATCAGCTCCATGAACCTGAGTGGGAAGTGGAAGGGGGGTGAGAGTACCTGCGTCCTTTAGTGCGGTTTCAGTGGCCCCACTATCAAGGACGAAGTCCAGGGTGGGGGAAGAAGGAGGAGGAGGTGACACGGGGTACTGGAAAGAAGTTTCATTGATAGCAGAGGGATACATGGAAGCGACGGATGGTGCAATACTGACATTACCGAGGAAACTGCCCGAAGTGTCGGGGACACTGGGGGGGGCAGAGGGGAGGGAACCCCAGGGAGGGGGGGGAGCAAGGGAGGCATGGGCGGCCGTAGCCGCCGTGCCGAAGGTCAGTGGCTGCTGCTGCCAGTACGGGGGAAGGAACTGCTGCTGCTGCTGCGGCGGCGGTTGGAAGAAATGCGGCGGCGGCGGCTGCTGCGGCTGGAGAAACTGCGGCTGCTGCTGCTGCTGCTGCTGCTGCTGGAAGTACTGATGCTGCTGCTGCTGGTGCTGCTGGAATTGCTGCAGCTGGGAAGGCTGGGAGGGGCTAACCAGGCGGAGGTGAGCAGGAAGGAAAGATGGGAGGGTTTGAACATCCACCAGGGAGGGGCGAGGGGTGACAGTGTTCCAGCGAGGAGGGGTGCCAGTGTTACCTCGGTCAAACCAGGCGTCGTCGAGCGCCTTGAAGCACGTGCTGGGGGGATGGTTGGTTTGGCCGCAAGGGGTACCAGCATGGGGACCATGGCGGCGCACATACGTGCATGGGGGGAGAGTGCCAGGGCGAGCGCCTCGAGTCACAGCACCACTAGCACCGGACGGTCCTCCAGCACCACCACCACCGCCACCACGGCCACCACGGCTACCGCCACCACCACCACTACCGCCACGACCTCCACCACCACCACCCGCTCCACGGCCTCCACCGCCACCGCTGCGACCACCCTGGTTGCGCGGCTGCGTAGCATTGAGGGAGCTGGAGGAGGAGGGCTGAGGGGTGGTGAGGTTGACAACGGGGGTGCGGAGCTTGACCTCCGTGTCGATGATCCATTGGACCACGTCGTTGAGGCCGGCCATGGCGTTCGCTTCAGTGAAGGCATGGAGGCGGGACTCGTAGTCCGGGGTGAGGTTGTAGAGGAGGCGGTGGATTTGCAGTGGCTCGGGGAGGGCAGCTTGGCGTGCAGCAAGGCGGTCAGCGACCTCCTGCATGCGCCCCACGTAGTCAACTGCGCCGTCACAGGTAGCGAGGGTGATGGAGAAGTACTCCTGGAACAGGGCGCCGACAGAGCTGATGTCGCGGCGCTCGAACATTGCCTGGAGCTCGGCCCAGATGAGGGAGGCGCGCATCTCCCGAGCCTGGAAACGGCGCATGAGGGTATCAGGGAGTGCGCCGAGGAGGATGGTGCAGGCGCGGTTGTCAGCAGCGGCCCATGCAATACTCTTGGGGAGGTAGTCTGCCATGGCCGTGTTGTATTCATCGAGGAGGGCCAGGCGGTTGGCGCGTTCCGCTACTGCGAAGTCGTGATGGTGGACTGCGACCTCGTGCTCTGCCTTGCGGATGAGGTACTCGCGGCGGTCATGGAGGAATGTGGCATCGGCGGCACTCTGGAGCGCTGGGGTAGTGGCGATCTCCAAGGTGGGTTCAGAAGGAGGAGGGCCAGGGGGAATGGGGGGTGGAGGGGGTTCGCCGGGGTGACTGGGTGCCGTGGGCTGGAGAGCTTGCGGGCGGCGGAGGAGGACGTCGAGGACGCAGTAGGGTCCGACGAATGCGTCTTGGAGAACGCGGCGGATGCTCCCGACGAAGGAGTGCCAATTGATCGCCGAGCGGTCCGCGGCAAGTTGGAGCTTGTCGACGGAGGAGGCGTCAATGGGAGGGGGAAGAGGGGGAGGAGTGGTATCCATGAGGGGCGACGGCGGGTGGACCCGCGGCGGCCTCGAGGGGGACGACGGCGGGTGGACCCGCGGCGGTCAAGGAGGAGGGCGACGGCGGGTGGACCCGCGGCGGCCAAGAGGGAGGGGGGGGGGGGGGGGGGGGGGGGGGGGGGGGGGGGGGGAGGTGCTGCTGCAGGAGGATGGAGCTCTGTTCAGGCTGCTGCTGCTGCTGCTGCTGCTGCTGCTGTTGCTGCTGCCTCTGCTGCCGCTGCTGCTGCTGCTACTGCTGCTGCCGCTGCTGCTGCTGTTGCTGCTGCTGCTGCTGCCGCTGCTGCCGCTGCTGTCGCTGCTGCTGCTGCCGCTACTACCGGAGGGGAGGGGAGAAGGGGAAGGGGGAGGATGTGAGCGCCGCGGCGGGAGGCGCAGGCGGCGACGGTGTGAGAGAGGCGACGACGAGGGGAGGAGGCGGCGGCGGCGGAAACGGCCGCGGGGGCGAGAGGAGGAGGCGGCGGCGGCGAAACGGCCGCGACGGCAAGAGGAGGAGGCGGCGGCGGCGGAATCAGCCGCGGCGGCGAAGGGGGGAGGCGGCGGCGGCGGAATCGGCCGCGGCGGCGAGGGGAGGAAGCGGCGGCGGCGAAATCGGCCGCGGCGGCAACGGGAGGAGGCGGCGGCGGCGGAATCGGCCGCGGCGGCGAAGGGAGGAGGCGGCGGCGGCGGAATCGGCCGCGGCGGCGAGAGGAGGAGGCGGCGGCGGCGGAACAGCCGCGACGGAGAGGGGAGGAGGCGGCGGCGGCGGAATCAGCCGCGGCGGCGAAGGGGGGAGGCGGCGGCGGCGGAATCGGCCGCGGCGGCGAGGGGAGGAGGCGGCGGCGGCGAAATCGGCCGCGGCGGCAACGGGAGGAGGCGGTGGCGGCGGAATCGGCCGCGGCGGCGAAGGGAGGAGGCGGCGGCGGCGGAAGTGGCCGCGGCGGCGAGGGGAGGAGGCGGCGGCGACGGAACGGCCGCGACGGAGAGGGGAGGGGGGCGGCGGCGGCGGAATCGGCCGCGGCGGCGAAGGGAGGAGGCGGCGGCGGCGGAATCAGCCGCGGCGGCGAAGGGAGGAGGCGGCGCGGCGGGATGGCCGTGACGGCTAGTGAAGGAGGCGGCGATGCGCTTGCTAGAGTATGCTAGGTTGAGCTAAGCGTAGGAGGGAAATTGTGGCTGTGGGGTGGGCCCATAGAAAAATAACTTGAGGGAGGGAGAGTTAAGGTTTGAGGAACAACTAGCTCTATACCATGTGAAAGATGTGAATTGAACAAGTGATTTGATTAGAGAGCAAACCTAGCATACATAGTTTGGGAAGAGAAGCTTGGAAGGGAAGGAGGAACCCAACCTATGGTTGGGTTGGCCTCACTTTGGGAAGTGAGGTAACCATAGGTGGGGTGGGTTGGGTTGCCCACACTTCTAAGAAGTGTGGCAACCCTAGGCCCACTTGGCTTGTGGTGGCCTCAATTGTGAAGTGAGGTACCCAAAAAGTCAAGAGGGTTGCAATTTGGGGGCTCCACCACAATTGGGTGGATTGGCACCCCAAAGTGCAAGGCTACACCCAATGTTGGGTGTAGTCCCAACCCAACTGTACACCACAATTGGTGTACAGTCACATGTGCTTAGCATGCTACAATATATATAATTCTAACAATAAGTGCATACAATTTCATGTGTGCTACACAGAAAAAGGGTCGCACAGTGGTATGCGTGCACCATCCACCATCCGCCCATTGAGATCTTTGGAATTGTTTGACGAGGTAGGGCGAGATGGAGTATGGATGGTGCACACCACTCTGCGACCCTTCTCCATGCGGCACGTAATATGTGACGTGATGTGATGGCACGCAGTGAACACGGGTCGCACGTGGTGTGCACCATCCACTAGTAGCCGTCCGTTGATATCTTTGTGGCGTTGGTAGACCATTCCATGATATTGTACAGTGTATTAAATGCATCTAGTACGCTAGAACTACATACAGCTGTGTGACATCGTCTGCATGGGAGATACTGTGGTGAGCAGTGCTCCGTACTCCAACCGTCCATTCCATTGTTGTCTTTCAGGCGTTTGACGTCCAAGTGCATTCACATGCGTTGAACAAGTGTACACTCTAACGAATGCAGTCAACAGCTCTACACAACACAATGATTAGCATCAAACAACGACTCGCCCCTCTTCGCTCCTACTCACCCTCCCTTTTCATACCCATTGCCCCTCCACTATACCTGTCTGCGCGCCTGGCAGTTGCTGCTGATGCAGCTAGGGGGAGAGGTCATCTATGCAGGGTTGTTGGGGAGGCAGTCATGTGATCTCATTCACTACTTCAAGGTAAGGAAGACAAGTGGTTCTTCACCACTGGATTACAATGTAGCTAAAATATTCTCTGAGGTGTCTGCGAGAACAGTTGAGAAGATTTCAAGCAATACCAGATATACTTCAAGCTAGTCTCATAGCTTACATGTTTTCTCCCTCCCCTTCCACACCTACCCACTTCCCTTCCATCGGCCCATCCATGGTTGAAGCAACGCTGTCCCTCTGCTCTCCCCCCCGCCCCCCATGCGTGCAGGCAACCAGGGGTGCCACCCATCCAGCCGGGTTCCAACCCTGCAGCATGGATGCTCGAGGTCACGGCACCCGCAGCAGCAGAGAAGCTCGGAGTCGACTTTGCCCACCTGTTCCGCCAATCAGAGCAGTTCAGGTGAGAATAGCAGGGCTACAGGAAAGACCAACAGACGCCCAGATCCACAAGCTAGTTTAGGAAAGAACAACAAAGGCTCCTGATAGCAAGCCCTGCTTATTCTTCCCAACTTAATTACCCTCACAAACCCTTCTTCCTATCTCTCACATGCCATCTTTCCACCTCTGCTCTTCCTTCCTGTCCTCTCCCTTGGATCCATAACATCTCCGATTCAACCAGCCATCTGCCAGAGGAAGACAGTGCCGCTACAACATCATTCTCACGCTCTCTCCAATACTCGTACCCTTTTTTCCCCCCACCCCCACCCTCTGCTCTCCCTTACCCCATATGTGCATAGGTCCTCACTTGGCCATTCAGGAATCCGGTGTGCCCCACTCGCCTCCCCTCCTCCTGTCTCCTCTTTTCTCGATCATTCTCACTCCCTCACCCCTGGCACCCACAGGTCCCTTCACTCGCTCATCCACGGATGCAGTGTGCCTCCCAAAGGCGCTTCGGACATTACCTTCACAACGCAGCACCGCGCAACACTGCTCTCCCAATTCACAACGAACCTGTGGAAGCGCCACCGCATGTACTGGCGCATGCCCGACTACAACGGCGCTCGCCTCTTCTACTCCATCATGGCTCTCCTCATCGGCGCCGTCTTCTTTGGCTTCGGCCGCACTCGCGACACCCGCAGCAGATTGCGAACGTCACAGGGGCTCTCTACACTGCTGCTCTCTTCCTCGGATGGAGCAATCTCGCAACAATCCAGCCGATGCTTGCGGTGGAAAGGAGTATTTACTACCGGGAGCGGGGTGCCGGCATGTATGCGGCCATTCCGTACGCGCTCGCGCAAGGGGTGATAGAGCTGCCATACCTTGCGGTTCAAGCAGGAACTTATGCATCGATAACATACCTGCTCATTCGGTTTGAGTGGACGCCCGGCAAGTTCCTGTGGTACCTGCTGTTCCAGCTGCTCACGCTGCTCTACTTCACGTGTTTCGGCATGATGGCGAGCGCCATCACGCCCGCTGAAGGGCTGGGCACACTGCTCTCTGCATTCGTCTACTCCTTCTGGAACCTTCTCTGTGGCTTCCTCCTGCCGCAGCCGGTGAGTGTGATGCTTATTGGGTTGTGATTACCATGGCACACTCACAATAGCATGGTCTGAAACACCAATGCATACAGCATTGTGGCAGTCCCATGACGCGGTGCTTGTGGTTGTGTGCATGCCATCGGATCTCACTCCACCATTTTCTCCAATACCGTCTCCTCTATTACAACATCATCATCCTGTCTCATGGCTAATCGTGTATCACTTTTGAGAAGTCTCACAAATGATATGTGCACGGTCTTATAAGATTGTCTGCATCACTGTCATATCAAGTTAATCATTTATACATGCATGCAACCGTTGAAAAAACATGTTTATTAGAAAAGGTTCTATTGACCATTTTGCATGCTTCCCCCCCTCATCAGAAAATCCATGTATAACTTTTGAATTGACTCAATAATGACCCTTTTCAACCCACCCCCCCCACCTCCCCCTCCCCTCCCCCCCCCCCCCCCCCCCCCCCCCCCACACCCCTTCCCCACATTCATCAGGAAATCCCTGTATACTGGAAATGGCTTTACTGGGTCAACCCGGTCGCATGGTCTCTCTACGGCCTCTCAGCTTCTCAGGTAGACTTCTCTCTAACCATTCCCGCAACCTCAGTGCTTGTGCGTTTGCGTGTCAGATTCACGTGTGTACCCACACATAGCTTATTTTCCACTGCACTCCTGTCCTTAACGCAAAGTGTGGGAACTGAGTGCAGGGAACTCACAATTGGGGGGTAGAATCGAGCTCACGATTGAGAGCTCTACCGAGCTAGTAATTTCACTCCTCCCACTCCCCTTGCCGACTGTTCCTTGTTCCTTGCTTCATCACTGGTTTCTTTCAGTTCAGAGATGTAACAACGGTGGTGGTGAGTCCACCGGGCATGCCAGCTCAGACGGTATCGCAGTTCATCCAGCTACTACGGCTTCTCCCACGCCTGGCTCGGCTATGCCACCGCTGCTCTGCTCGGCTTCTCCTGCCTCTTCTTCTGTGTGTTCACCTACGCCCTACGTAACCTCAACTTCCAATGGCGATAGGATTGGGAAAGATGAAATGTGTTGAAGGATGATATGGATGTGAGGTATGTCAAATAATAACTGCGACCATGTAACACATTCGATGAGGGCGAATGGCATAACTGTACATAATGTAAATATTGTGAATTGAGTGAAGCCTAAAACTAAAAAATACATGTACCGTATTCTCTCGGATAAAACACTCTAGGGTATTATCAAAACCACTGGGAAAAAATGGGGTGGGTCTCCTCAAAGGAAAATCCTACATACCGTATGGCCCCGGATAGTAGCGCAGGTGCGCTTATAATAAAAACGATTTTCTTTTTAAGGGTCGCACTTGTAATTGAGTAACGGCCATAAGCGACGGCACATTTATAAAGGCAAAAATGAAATTCAAATACCGTAATCGCCCGGATATAAGACAGTGTTGAATAGTAGACAGGGGTTGTCTGTTGGAAACAATGAATCATAAGCGCCTCTGTCGTGTCGAAACACCGCACCAGAAGCGAGACGAATCATACCGAAGCACCCGCGAGTCAACCCTCGGAGGTTGAGAGGTTGCTGGAGGTTACGCGAAAGTCAAAGGTCAAGCGACCTTTGACCTGACAAGTACAGCGCGACAGTTAAGGACACACAACTGACTCGTTACAGAGCAGTTGCCCGAGTCGTACTGTATCGAACCGCAACAGCAACAGTAAAAGTAGTTATAACTGTATCCTTTGATATTCCCTGCATTATTATATATTCTTGTACTCTCTTGTTATAATTAATCTACTTTGCCCTCACATACTAGCGCAAGGTGGTTCACAATTCTTCATTAAGCTTCCGCTGTTACAACATTATCCTACCCAGAGTTCTCCCCTGAAAAGATCCTAAGGGGCTATCTCAGCCCAACATGGTATGAGAGCTCACAGGGGAAACTCTGCCACTATCAAATCATCAGGAACATTACAAGACATGGCAACAAACAAGGAAAGGAGCTCCTCTAACGGCTCCCCAGGCACTACTCCTACTCCACCTCCTGCCTCTGGCCTGCAGACAGAGGAAGACACGACAACAAGACCAAGGGTGACATCTACTGAGACTCCCACAAACCACCCCACCAATTTCGACCAGAGCATGATGGAGAAATTTTTCTCCTTCATGTCCTTCTACGAGCAGCACCAGCAATCGGGACCTGCACAGACACACAACAGCAACAACGGAGCGACGCCCATGAGCCTCGACGGGTCGTCATATGCGCGCGGAAACCAACAACAGCAACCTACCTTCGCCCCGTACGAGCGCGGGTCGATCAGCTTCATGCCGCAACCTTCACCTGCACAAGACAAGCCACTGGACGCGTTACAAGTGCAATCACAGTTCGCACACGTTTTGAAGCTGCAAACGTCAAGACCTTTCGACGGAAAGGACTTCTTCACCTGGTCATTCGAGTTCGAGCTGATGATGGAGGGCGCGCAGATACTTGGCTTCTTCGACGGGTCCCTGCAATACCCAGTAAACGGCACACAGTATGAGAAACAGCAGTACACGTATCAATCAATGATGGCGTATACAATTATGCTGAGGAACGTCACGCCAACTCAGCAGCAGAACATACGCTCTTACCGGGGTTACGGCAACTCCGCTGAGCTCGCGTACAGCCACCTGAAGAGCCTGTATCAAGCAACAGACAGCGTAAACCAGAGCAGGTTAATGGCGCAGCTGACAACAGTTGAAATGAAACCAGGAGAAAAGGGGATGGCGTATATCAGCCGATGTCGCGAATTGCGCGACAAGCTTCTTCGATGCGGAGGGTCAATATCAGAAGACGCCTTCGTGACGGTCATCATTGGCGGTCTTGGTCCTCAATGGCGCGCCACCAAAGCTATTCTCCGAGCCCACGGGAGAATCTCTGAAGCAGCACTCTGCGCCGAAATCCACGCCGAGCAGCAGGACATGGACCTGCAAGAAGAACGACACAGGAAGAAGACAACAGCATCAGAATTTGCCTTCCACACTCAGCGACGTTACAACAACTACAACAATCGACAGCAGCAACCGAAGCCCGTACCTCCCTTTTGCCACATCTGCAAAACTTCGGGACACCCACGCACGCATTGCCCGAATCGTCAACAGTCAACAACTCCGCAGCGGCAGCTACGACCCTCAAGCAATCAAGTTGCGTCAACACAGGCGAACCCGACGACTCAAATTCAAGCTTCAACGACCTCAACGGGACAACCTGCACAAGGAGCAAGAAACATCGTTAGCTGCATGGCAAGACTGAGTGACTCTTGCGTCACGGAATCACCACCGTACTACTCACCAGAAGAACAGCTCGATGAAACGACACCTCGCCGCGAAGCACTTCAACCGAATCCAACATACGCCGCCATCGCCCAAAGCGAGCCATCCGGGAAGGACACGTGGTTCTTGGACAGTTGCTGCGGACAGCACATGTGTTCTTCAGGACGCTTCGTGCAGCGAGAGTACCAGCTTCAACGGGAAGTCATCATTACCGTCGCCAACAACCAGAACCTGCGCACACGACGACAAGGCGTAGTACAACTTCAGTCACGAGAGACAAACGTTATCCTGCAGATGTCTAAGGTCCTAATCGCAGAGGGCTTGGGCTACAACTTACTAAGCGTCAGTCAGTTGATGGCGAAGGGCATTCATCTTGAAGCAGACAGCACAACTCAGGAGTTCAAGCTGTACCACGGGAGAGGAGGTCTCTACATCGGGAAGGCGGTCCTCAAGAACAACGTCTTCGTTCTTGACTTCGTTCCGGACCTTGGCACCGCTGACAGTGACGCCATCGTCAATTTTACGAATTGGACGCACCCTCCAGACCTTGATCCAGACTTCAGTCCGGGCGGCTTCTGGTACTCACACACCATTCCTGAAACAGAGAGAACAAGAGCGTTAGCAACGATTCAACAGTCGGCAGCAGCAGAGACAACATCGGCAGCAGCAGAGACAACATCGGCAGCAGCAGAGACAACATCGGCAGCAGCAGAGACAACAACAGCAGCAGCAGGAACATCAACACCAGTCGCCGGTCCTTCGACGACACCATTCTGAATCGACGACACGCCACCAACACCCGCGCAGCAGCTTCAACCAACGCCGCGAGAAGTTCACCGCAGCGCCAACTTCACCGCCGGCTTCTACTCCAACTCCGACATGTACCGACATTCTCAAGGACACCGCGCCACCGAAGGAACCTGGCACGCAAGAATGGGACATCCGAGCCACACCGTGTTAAACAACACAATCAGAGCGGGTTTGCTTGACAAAGATTCACTCCTACTAACCGACGGCAGAGAACTTCAGCGAGCTCGAGGAACATGCTTCACCTGCCCCGAAGCAGACCTAACGCGACAACCATTTCCATCTCACCACAATCCAAGCGCACCAGCTTACGCACCGCTCGAGAAAGTGTACAGCGACATCTTGTACAACCGCGAACCTGGACAGAACACTTACAACTACACGATTACCTTCATCGACGCCGCGACCAGATACGTCTGGCACCTCAACCTACCCAGCCGCGACATGGCCTTCGAAGCGTTCGTCGCGTGGCTTCCTGCAGCAGAAAGAGAATCGGGCGTAAAACTGAAAAGTTTTCAGTCCGACGGGGGAGGAGAATACACCTCACAGAGGTTCAAGGACTACTTGGCAGAGAAGGGAATCAAGCGGCTCATCTCCCTTCCCTACGCCCATCAACAGCAAGGTGTAGCAGAACGGATGAATAGGACACTTCAAGCCACCATGCGCAAGCTGCTACGTGGCATGCATCTGCCCAACCACCAGTGGCCCGAAGCAATGGACCACGCCGTCATGCTGCACAACTTGCTCTCGTCATCATCGCTCCCGAACAACGCATCACCGCACCTGCTGTGGACAGGAAAATTGGGCAGCACAAAAATGTTACGAGTTTTCGGGTGCATGGTACAGTACCGACCACCATCTGCACGCGCCGGTCGATTCTCCCAACGAGCACAGTGGGGACTACACCTGGGCATCGAAAAACACCAC